AACTCAGGTAGCTGGCACCCGCGTGCGCCTCTTCGGCATCGACGCGCCCGAGAAGAAGCAGGCTTGCCTGGACGGCAGGGGCGAGTCCTACCTCTGCGGCCAGGCCGCCACCTCCGCGCTCAGGGAGGTGATCGGCGATGCGCCAGTTGCCTGCACGGTCAAGACCAAGGACATGTACCGGCGCTCCGTGGCGGTGTGCACCGTGGTCCGCCCGGGCGAGCGTCCGCTGGACCTGAACGCCTGGCTGGTGGAGGAGGGGCATGCCGTCGCTTACCGCCGCTACAGCAAGGACTTTGTGCCCGCAGAGCTGCGAGCCCAGGAGGCCAAGCGCGGCATCTGGGCCGGCCGCTTTGAGCTGCCGGAGGGCTGGCGGCACAAGGAAACCATGCCGCAGTGGTTCCAGTGATGTTGGGGCTGGAACCTGGCTCGTCCATGTGAGTTTGCTAGGAAAACAGAGGCGGTATGTTTGGAGGGCCACCCCCGGCAGGTCCGGCCCTGGCAAGGGAGAAGGGTCAAAGCAGGACCTCCAGTCTGTTATGTGGCTCGTTCCACACCAAAGATCCCGGAAACAGCCTCCATGTATCTCACGGGGCGCAGCGATTTGATGCCCATGCAGCCACCTAGAGCACACATCAGTATGTGGTTCTCGGAATGCCAGATCCGACACCGACCACGGGCTTCGATGTGCAGGCTCCCGTACTCTCTCCAACCCCTCTTGAGTGATCTCCTGCCCGCACAGCATGGCATGCCCAGCCCCCTCAGATCATGGCCTCGGGGTCAAAGTCCTCGCCCACGGGGGACAGGTCGATGTCCAGGTCGTCTCTCCCCCGCGTGGCCCGAGCGATGGCAATGAGCTCCACCAGCAGGCTGCGCAGGTTTCGCAGCGGCCACTCCGTCGGCGCGTCCACGGGGGAGGTAGTGGGGTTGTCGTGCACTTCCATGAAGATGCCCTGCACGCCCACCGCCACGGCTGTGCGCGCGATGGTGGGGATGAGCTCGCGCAGGCCGCCGCTGGCGACGCCGCCGCCCTGCCGTGGGGGTTGGAGGCTGGGGTCAGGGAGGCAGGGGTTTGGGGTTGGGCGCAGGAGGTGGTAGGTTGAAATCCATCGCGCAGTGCACAGGCAAGGATCACTGTACACTGAGGGAAACAGAACCAAAATCTCTGGGCGCTCTGCAGGCAGGCAGCCGGCCCAGGGCCTGGCCGGGCCAGGGTTGGGCTCAGAACCTCGAGACCCAGTCCAGACCAAAAAGGGAGGCACCCGTGTCTACTCCCCGCGTCTGCCATCCAGGGCAACCCACTGGGCACCGCAGCGCAGATGTGCGCCGGTCCCTTGCCTGTCTTCCCCGCCTTCCTCCCCGCCTGTTCAGTTACTAACCTCCAGGGCCCGGCCGGCTGGCTGCTGCAGGGCGTGCGTAACGTCTGCAGTCACCGGCACGCCCGCATCGCGCATCAGCACAAAGTTGCGTGGGTCCACGATGAGGTCGGAGTAGCCAAACATGGTGCCGCGCTCGCAGACCAGGACGTTGGGGTTGCCTTCGGGGGGGGTAATGGAAGGGGGGAAACATTTATGTAACAGGGGTGGGGTGGCCGGGGCGCAGGTGCAGAGGGCCATGGAGCATGGCAAATCTGAACTCCCGATAACAGCCCCGTTCCCTCGTACTGAATCCCATGCCCCCCAACAAAACCCTTCAAGCCACCCACCGGCGTGCTTGCACTTCTCCGTGGAATTGCGCATGACGGAGGCCGCGCAGAACTGCCCCTTCTTGATCTGGATGACCTTGCCTGTCTTGGCGGCGGCGATCAGCAGATCGGTCTGCCGACACAAGAAAGCGGGGATCTATGCGGGGGCGGGCAGAGTTCGGGGAGTCAGTGTGTGTGTGATGAATGAGGATATTGATGAGAGGGGCAGCGCCATGAATTTCTCAAGGCAAAGAATCAACCGGGAATTATGTCAAACAATGCACCCTTGGCCTTCATCCCAACATATCAAGCACAGAGGGACCCACCTGGATGATGTCAGCCACCTCAGCCACCTTCTCGGCCTGCCAGGACTCGTGGATGTCGGTGATGATTGGCACATCAAAGGTGTCCTTGACCTTCTTCAACACCCTGCATGATGTGCATGGGGTTGCCTCATGCAAATCCAGCTGACCTGCCCCCGATCATGACACCATGTCCATCTGTTGTATTCGAGTCCCAACAAAGGTGCTCTCCCCTTCGTCACACAAAGGATTGTCTGGACTCCAACCAACCATGCGCAAGATACACGTGATACCCCACCTGAGACCCTCCTCCATTCCAGGACCGCGGAAGGAGGCGGCGTTGGTGCGATTCGCTTTGTCAAATGACGACTTGAAGACAAGCTTGATGCCCAGGCTGTCTGCTCAGGGAAGGGGCAAGAGGGAGGGGTGGCGCGATCTGCACCCGATCACCATACAGACAGGATCCAACCACCATCCAAAGTACATGCCTGTCACGGCCTTGATCTGACGGCACATCTTAAGGCAGTGCTCCTCCGACTGGATCACGTTGGGCCCGGCCATCAGGAAGAAAGGGGCGGAGCCCTTGAGCTCCTTGAAGAAGGCTGATTCCTGCAGCCGTGCAACAAGTGATACATCATACATCCGTGCGCATGCAGTTTTGCAGTGCCGGGGCCACCCCATGCATGACCCACCCCTACCTCCGCCATGGCCACAATGTTCGGGTGAGACAAGTTGTAAAGGTTGAGAATGGATCTAGAGCCTTCGAACGTTCAATCTGATTCGCAATGCAATGCTCGACTCCTGACCCGGTACTCAGGGGCTGAAGCATTGCTATCGGCAGGGTGGGTTCAGTCTCGGCTTAAAGTGCTGCATAGCACGCGGGGCACGCTTCGAATCTGGACGAAACCATATCACTCCCCCGACATGCTTTCATGCAGGGCGCTGACGATGAGTGATTTTTTTTGGAAAAACGACCGTGAGAACGTTTCGAGATTGGTGTCTTGGCGATCCCCACGCCACGCTGCCTCGCGGCGGTGGTGGGGCGTCGGGTGCTGTCCTGCGGCCCTGCCAGGGCCTGCGCCAGACTCCACGCGCCATCTGGCTCCGCCTGCCATGCCGACATCGACCGCCTGCTGGACCGGGACTGGCTCCTGCCCAGTCCAGCAGCCCAGGTCCGGGGAGGGTGAGCTGTGCTTCCCATCATGGCCTGCCGGCTTGTGCTTGCCTGTCGGCAACCCACCCCTCCCTCACACATGAACGACGACGAGCCCACCTCCCAGATCACGGAGTGCGGCAGCTTTGACGTGCTGCGGGACGACCTGGCTCACCCCTACGTCAATGGGAACAAGCTGAGGAAGCTGGACGCGGTGTGGCCCGCACTGCTGGCCGGCCCCGCCCGGCACGTGGTCACCTGCGGCGGCGCGCAGAGCGCGCACCTCGTGGCAGTGGCCGCGCTGGCGGCCGGCACGCGCGGCGCGCTGGCCTCGCACCTGCTTGTCCGCGGCGAGGCGCCCGCCGCGCCCACGGGCCACGCGCTGTACATGCGCTTGCTGGGCGGGAACGTGAGGTACGTCCCGCGGCGCGAGTATGCGGCGCGGGGCGCCATGCTGGCGGCCTACGCCGCCGCGCTGTGCGCGCCGCCCGACGGGCCCCGCCCCGACCAGATCGCGGTGCTGCCGGAGGGCGGCGCCATGCCCGGCGCCCTGCTGGGCTCTGCGCGCCTGGTCCGCTGGCTGGCTGGGGAGCTGGGCGCCGCGCCGCGCGACCTGGTGCTGGACTGCGGCACCGGCGCCACGGCCGCGGGCCTGGCGCTGGGCGTGGCGCTGCTGGGCCTGCCCTGGCGCGTGGTGGGCGTGGAGGTGGGCGGGCCGCCGGGCGAGGCGGCGCGCACCGCCACCGGTCTGCTGAACGAGGCGGTCGCGGAGTATGACCTCAACCCGGGCGTGCCCGACGCAGCGCAGGCCGCGCTGCGCTGGGTCCCGCGCGGCCACCCGCGCCGCTTCGGCCGCACGCTGCCGGGCGACGGCGCCGCCGTGCGCGCGGTGGCCGCCGCCACGGGCGTCGTGCTGGACCCCATCTGGACGCTGGCCGCCTGGGAGGCGGCGGCGGCGCGGGCGGCAGCGGCGACTGTGGGGCCGGCGCCGCGCCAGCTCATGCTGCACACGGGCGGGGGGCTGGCGCTGTGCGGCGCGGCCCAGCGCTGGCCGGAACAGTACTAGGTTGTTTGGGAGGGGGTGTGGAGTGGGCCAGCTTGCCGAGGCGCAGCACCGCGGTGCAGGCCATGGCGGTGAGTCCACCACAACAGCCCGCTGGAGGCTCGGCCGCACGCCCGCACGGCCCTCGCTCGGCCGGAGCAGCTTGGACCCTGTCAACCCCATGTTTTGCAATGACACACCCCCTGCATGGCATACAGATGTGCTGCCTTGACTCGCTGATGCTCAGGTTCTGTACATGACGAGCCACGCTGAGTGCGGCTGGGGCGCGGAATCCCTTACCCAGCGGCGCCCCCCCGACCAGTCCACGCATCAGTTGGACAGGTAGAACTGGGCCAGGAAGGGTGACAGGTTGCCGGGCTTGGGCTTGGGCTCCGTAGTGGCGGGCAGGCCCACGTACTTGTCGATCAGATGGTGCCGCTGCTTATGCTGCATGATGATCATCTGGGAGGAGCACAGGCCGACGGGGCAGAAGTCAGTCTTCGTGTGGCAGTGAGCACTCTGGGGCAATGGACACAAGCAGTCTGCATGGCGTAGACCTTCTCAATCAGGGGGCCACATTGGCTGCTGCCGAGGCCAGTCCCTTGCCAACGGGTCCCGTGGTCATGATCCCAGTCCCCACATGCAAACCTCCAGCACAGTGCGACTCGCAATTTAAGAGCAGTGTCCCTCACGCCCAGCTTTTCCCTCGGAGCCGACCCAATCCTGCGTCTCACCTCGAGCTCCTCGCGGCCCTTATAGATGAGGAGGTCCACCGCCTCGGGCGTCTTGACCTCCTCGAACCGCCTGAACAGCTGGTTCACGTTTCGTCGCAACTGAGAGACGGTGGTCAGCTCCTCGAGCTTGTAGTTGTGGACGACCCAGGGCAGGGTGCGGCACACCTGCGTGGTATGAGGGAGGGGATGGGTGCCACCTCATGGGGTGCTCCTGCCCTATAACCCAGCCCCAACCAGACCCGGTCTCCCAGCGCTCGCACCTCCCGGAAGAAGAGGGTGGACTTTCCGTGCTCCACTGCTTGCTGGAGACCGGAGCCATGTCCGCCAAGGCCCAGGGCTTTCCTCACGACGGGGCGAGCGGCCATGGTGCACACCGACTACCAGTCCCAAGTCTGCCCCCGTCCAAAGCCGGCAATGAATGAAAGGAGTATTTCCTCCGGTGTTGTACCTAGGATCGATGACACAGGGTTGGAGGGCGTGGGTTTCTCGGGCCTTGCGCGATGTTGCGGGGGTGAATGTCCCAGCGGGAGTGAATGTTGCGCTTCGAGGACGTGGACCAATCTCGGGTCGACCCGGGGCCGGGGTGGCCCCCGCCTCCTCTATATTAAGCTGCGCAGCCATTTGCAGTCCCACATGCATTCTTTCTGTGCAATGATTCTGTCTTGAACCTCGACATCGGACTCTCTCCATCCCTGGAGAGCAGTCCGATGGCAGTCAATATGGCTCGCAGCGGAGTGAGCGGGTGACGGCAAGCCCTTCAAGGTACTTTTGACAGGGGCTGGAGGCTCTAATGTGCACCGAGTACCCCATGCCCGAAGATGTTGAATGATAATCTTTGAGACCTGAACATACTTGTGGACAACCTTGCATTCCTGAGGGCACTTGTGGGGCCGCATGCCCCTGCGTGATGGGGCGTCACTGTCGAGCTCCCAGCCTCGGGTATCCTCCGTGCAGCGGACTCCAGTCCATGAGTCCTGCTTGCCCCAAAACACAAACCGAGGAGAGCGATGCTGTTGTTTGATCGGGCCAGCCCATCGGTAGCCGATTCGACAAGCATGACAGCGACACTTCCCTGCAACCTCAACTGGCAAGGTCCTTGCACCAGGATTACTTCTCTTTAAACCACCACTCCCCGTCGACGCACGCTGCTGCAGGTCCCTGCACGGGCGCCCCTCAACTGGGATGGAGGACCTGCCTAGGTCTGTTGGCAGCGGGCACCTTGCCAGGTAGGAAGAGCTCGAGCTCCATTGTGTGGGGAACGCCTATGCTTGTTGACCTTGGCAGGGCTGATGACAGAACCGTGACACATCTCGGAGCTTGTTCAAGCCTGACGAATCACGAACTCATCGCTGCGTTCTTTCTGACCTGCAACCTTGATTCCTTGGCCACCGATCCCGATTCTGTAGTCTTTCTCCGCTTTCTGTTCCCGTTTTTTCCTGTGTGCGTATGGGGATGAAGATGTTTCCAGATCAATATCTTAGGACACCTTCTTAGGTAGCACACGCCTCGCTACCAGTGAGATGAAGTGATCACTGACCCATAACGCCGCATCGCCCTCCCTCCTCTTCCTTGCTGCTCTCCTGTCACAAGCCCGGTGATGCTAAAAATAAACTTTCGTTCTACTGAGCAGTCTAACAACTGTGCAGAAACAATTTATTGGAGACCTGAACTGAGGGCTTTTGTGATGATTTTGCTCCTGCTACCTCCCCCTGTCGAGCGGGAACCCCATCTGGGGCAGGCCCGTCGGTTTCGTCCCCACCTTTTCGACCTCTCCTTCTACCCTGTTGATCTCGCGCAGGGCAGGAGCCTGGCAGCCTCGGCGCTGCTTGGGGAGTGGCATGGGCCTTGAGGGTTTGGAGCACCGAATGGCGTCCTCGCACATGCAGCTGCCACCGTCCCCGAGGTGAGTGGACCGACACCGGGCTGTTTGTGTCTCACACGCCCGTGCCGCTGCCAGATGACGACCCCATCCCAATCAACGTTGCTATTCTGAACCACAACGTGTTGAAACCTTACATGCACCACTATCTGATGGCTTGCGGCGCCGGTGCGCCGGGTGCTGGCATGCGACGAGCTCACGTGCGTCCTCCTGAACCCCTCGACCCCTTCCCGCCCTGGCAGGGTGTGAGAGGGTAGACCATGGAAGCGGCATGTCGCACCCAAGGCGGCCCTCTGCTGTGCAGAAGGCTCACAGCGGCGCAATTTGTCTGCTGCGGACCCCCAGGCTGCCCAGCGCGCACACACCAGGTAAGGGCGCAGCGCAAAGGGCCACTTCGGTACGACCCTGACTGCGTGGGGTCCTGGGTCCCATCTCCTTTGGGAGTGCGGACCCAGGACCCCGCCCTCCACGATCAGACGCTCTTGCGTCCATGTACTGGGAGAAAGTCCCCGGGCGATGAGGCAGAGAGTGCCATCCCGAAAGGGCAGGACCCCCGAGACGAGGCGCCCCTGGGGGCCCCATCGTCGAAGGGCAGCTCGCCGTAGACACAGTTATGTGGCCGGCGCCGGGCCGTCCTCGTCAGAGGGCGTTTCGGCGCTAACACAACGGGGCTTACTCTTGCACTGACGCCCCCACCCCCTCCACCCCATGCTCTGGAACAAATCCAGGTGCAGGCGTGCGGCATCGATGGTTGGGTGAGGAGTCTGTTGGCGAGAGCATGTGGAAGAGCTGCGCCCAGCCCCCTGCAACAACCGCATCAGTCCCACACACTTGCCCTTGTAGCTAGGTGCGTACCCGCCCAGGCTGCCGGCACAGCTTGCCCTGGTGGGGGGTGATGAAAGTAATTCACCACAGACCTGTTCTGAAGGGGAGGCCCCTGATAATGAGACACGAAGTTGTTATGCACCACTCTGACTCCACCCCAGCTGATGCGTTTGAGAGGGCGAGGGGGGCACTTCTTTGATGAGGTTGCCACCCCTGCCCCTCGCGCCGCGATATCCGATGAAGCAGGGGCCCCATCACCAGACAGTCACAGCATTCCCTTGTGCCCTTTGCACCTTGCAGGGCTGGTGGTGGCCTGAGGCCTGGACCTGGCTGTGCATTGGGATTCTCAACGATCATACAACCTGGTACATGTCCTTGCACTCTCGCGCATGTCCTTGCAACCCGTTGGCATATCGCTCCTTGCCACAAGAGGACTTGGTTTCAACATCAACTTCTAATAGCCCTGCCTCATCCCTACTTGTACAAACATCTGGAAGCTCAGAGGCACACTCAAAGACCAGCAATAAAGAGATCCTGGCATTCCCTCCAACAGCATGCAACACCAGGAGGCACCGAGTTGCTATAGAATCACGCAAAAATACAGGTGTCCGAAACCTCCCTTGTTCCAGATCTGGCTGGGCTGGAATCATTCCTGAGCCGCCTGCTTTTTGAAGCATGAAAGTGCTGCCTGGCCGGCGCTGGGGAACTCGCGGTCAGCAGCCAGGAAGCGAGACCCATCGGTAGACATCTGGATGTACGCGGGGCTATCCCCGCTGCCATCCTGCGGCCCGGGCAGGTCGACGCCCTCCGTGCCGCCGATGGCGAGCACGATGACGTCCACCCCCTTGCATGCGCTGGTCACCTCATGCATCAGCTGGCGGGCCAGGGGGTGGATGAGGGGGCCATCCTCCTCACACTTCTCTGAAGGAAATGAGTATAGGAGAAGGTATGGCACACGGCCTTCCCACAAGTCCAGGATCATGCTCCCTGCACCTGGTGAGCTGCACCCCCCACCCTGGACCCCCCCCGCTCACCAGCACAGAGGACCAGCACATCGAGTCCGCCATGCTTCTCGATGACTTGCCGGGGGACCTCGTCCACCTGATCAGGCGATGGATGCAGTGACACTTGCGATGGTGTGTGGCGAGAGATTTGATCGAGTGGTCACACACAAACACACACATCGCCCTTCACCTGGTCCTGCAACCGCCGCCCACCTGTTCCGCACTCGTGAGATCGAGCTCCAGGGTTTCGCAGGGCGCCAGTGTGTCAAAGCCACCCATTCCTCCACACCGGGATGCGACCTCATGCAGCGCCAGGGTCTGCGGTGCGGTGAGCACCAGGGTGGCCCCCTCCCTGGCGAAGGTCTCGGCGACGTCGGCCCCCATGCCGACATGGGCGTTCACGATCAGCACCCGCCTGCCCTCCAGCGCACGCACGCTCTCCTGGGCCATGGTTGCCTCGTTTTTGTTATGAGCGTGTCTGCTGCAGCTCGTCATGCCCTCTTACCAACTTTACCCTAGGCCCATCGCGCTCCCGCACCCATGGGGAAGGTGGGAGGGAGTACGCAGGGCGCCACAGGTCTTGGGCCTCCCGCTCTGAAGCCTGCACCTCCGCTCTTCCTACACCATCGTCCACACCACGCAACCTTCCCCCCCTGCCCGCCTGCCCTCGCTCGTGTCCCTCTTAGCTTCCGTTGTTACCCACAGTCAACAACGCATAGGCAGGCCCGGGCCTCAGGCGGTGGCCTCCTCCGGGGCGTCGCCGACCACGCCCTCCGCGGGCCGGTCCACGGCGGTGGACACCTCGGTGGGCAGGTCGCCGTGCACCTCCATGAGCTTGCCCACGTCGAACTTTGGGCTGCGCAGGACCTTGACCTTGCGCACGAAGGTGTTCTGCAGGGGGTAGATGCCCTGGCACGCCTTCTCGATCTCCTTGCCGATGGCCTCGGGGATGAACTTGGCCACCAGATCCTTGAGGTCCACGGAGGTGGCCTCGCGGGTCATGATGTCCACCATCCTGCGCCGGATGGCGCGGATCTGGGAGCTCTGCGCGTACGCGGTCTTCTTCACCTGCCCCGCGCGCTTCTTGGTGAAGGCGATGGCGAAGAGGCGCAGCGTGTAGCCGTCGGTGGTCTTCACGTCCACGTGGGCCTCGATCAGCGTCTGCCACTTGCGCACCAGCGACCGCAGCTTGTCGGTGGTCAGGTCCATGCCGTGGAAGTTGGTCAGGCAGTGGCGACCCTGCACGTCCTCCACGCGCAGCTTGATGTTGCGGTACGCGTCCGCATCATTCTTCTGCAGGTCAGCCAGGTTGACCGTGATCACGCGGCCCTTCAGACCATCAGACGCGATCTGTTGGAAGGAGGGAGGGAGGGGGGGGTGGTGGGGGGTTGTCATTGTATACTCGCCGAGTACCCTTGCCAGCCAGAGCTGGAGGGGCAAAATCCTAGCCCCAATGGGTAAAGATATAGCGGCTGGTGCTGGGCCATATCCAGGCTTGCCATCCCCAGCTCCCCAGCAGCGGTCTGGATAGAGACCTCCCCCCCCCGAGGCCTGTCCGCCGCTACTGCGCCCGATCTCCACCAGAGCAATCCCTCGCCGCCCTGCGCCCCGGCCCCTTCCCGCTCCGTCCGTCCATCACACCTTGGTACCGGCGGTACGAGTCACCAGGGTCTTGCCCACAGCGCGCTGCTGGAAGGTGCTGGGGGCACGGATATCGTACCAGTCCTTCTTGCTGAAGGGGTCGACACTGCAGTGGAGAGGAGGGGTACCGGGTGTGAGGGAGCATGCTTCGGGAGCCAAGCAGGAGCAGGGCGAGCCACCGCGCGTCCAGCCTGCTCACATCTTCTTCTTGCCGCCCTTCTTGCCCTTTGACAGGCCTGCGAACGGGGGGATTGGGAGAGCGATGGGACGAGGACGCCCGTGGAGGGGCACTGCCGGCTGGCGGGGCGCAGGCACGCCCACTCACGCTTGTTCTTGCCGACCGCCATGTTGCTCCCACTGACAGTCGACAATCGGTACCTGACCCCGTGGCCAGTGCAGGCTTGAAAGAGGCAGGGTACGGCCCCTGGAGGGCCAAAGAGCGGGGCGGCCCCGAGGGGGGGGCGCAATGTTATAGACCAAGGAAATCCACATTTGCGAAGGCCCAGTGCTGGTGTGACGCCGAAACCTGTAATGTGAAGATTCTCGCAGGACACATGCTTTCGAGTTGTGCAACCCCGGTCCCAGCAGTGCCTATACTTTCACGAGGGGCGTGCCACGCTTTGAGATCGTCGACCCCCCTTAGACGTTGGTCGCGCCCGGGGAGCGCCATGGGGTTTTGGCTGGGCACCCTCATATTCGCCCTCCTGGAGCTGCTGGGCTTTGGCATCGTGCAGGCATCTGGGGCTAGACATGGAAACAAACTGTGCGTTGGCTTGGGCCAGGGGCCAGGGGTTTTAGCGGGTGGCGAGACCAAAAGATCGGTGCTCTGACCTGTGCGACCCACGACCCCTCTCCCAGGTTGAAGCACACACTCGTGGGCACGACGGTGGCGTGCTGCTGGATGATGTGAGCTCCAGGATCGGGGCTTGGCTTGTTGCGTATTGTTCTAGCTGTGTGATATGCATCGATATGCATAGCCTGCAGCTGCACTTTGCCTGGAGGTCTTCTCTATTGGAACCCCAACCCCCTTTGCAGGTGGGGCATCGTGTACATCGCCCAGCTCCACCCGCTCATGAGGCCTACCCTCCAGGGCTGAGGTGCTTCCGTGGGTGGAGGATGCTCGTACCTGCCCCTCTTTACGCTTGCTCACCTTCGCACAGCGCAAGGTCTCGTCACCCTTCCTCAACCTTGTATCGCTGCTTTTTCCAATTGTAAATTACACGACATACCGGGGGCGGGGGTCGACTCGAACCAAGGAAAAGCAGGGAGTAATTCTTTGTCTTTGCGACAGGTAGGGAGGGGGGTGGGTCGCACTTGGAGACCGTCTCACAAGAGGCAAACCCCGGAAGGGAAGGGGGTGTCTTGCTGGACTCCAGGCCTTGCCCTCCTGCCCTCCAGCCCCCACCCTTACTGCTGCCGGCTCATCAGCTGAGCACGGGCTCGGGCTGCGCCTTCTGCTGCCGTACCGCCTCCAGGTTCTCGTCGGGGATTTCTGCGTACTCGGCCAGGATGGCGCGGAACTCGTCGCCGCTCATCGTCTCGCGCTCCAGCAGCACCTCCACCACCTTATCCATGGCTGCACGGTTGTCGCGGATGTGGCGCAGCGCCTCCTCGTACGCGCGCGCCGCGATGTCCTTCACCGCTGCGTCGATACGCTGCTGCAGGCTCTCGCTGATGGAGTTCTTGGCCATCATGCGCATGATCATGTCGGGCGACTGCGCGGCCTGGTCCTGCAGCGAGTAGGGCCCGATCTCGCTGAAGCCGTAGTTGATCACCATGCTGCGCGCCATGTTGCTGACCTGCTGCAGGTCGGAGGAGGCGCCGGTGGTCACCTCAGCCGAGCCCCAGACCACCTCCTCGGTGGCGCGCCCGCCCAGCGCGCTCACGATGCGGGCAAAGATCTGCTGCTTGCTGATCAGGGTGGGGTCCTCACCTGGGAGGGAAGGGAGGAAAGGGGTGAGGTTGGTTGGTGGGAGTCCATGTGTTTGGGGGGATGCAGGCCCTGGTCCGAGACATCCCGAACTGGAGAGGGGTCGGGGGGCGGCACGCCAGTTACTCGTCTGCATGGCCCTTCCTCCAGCCATCCCCCCCTTCTGTCGGATGCTTGCCAGCAACCCCTCCCCCCACCCCCACCCCCCCGCACCCCAGCGCACCTGGGATGAACCAGGTCAGACCGCGGGCCTGGCCCCTGGGAATCAGGGTCAGCTTCTGCACCGGGTCGTGGCCCGGGGTGAGCGTGGCTGTCACGGCGTGGCCGACCTCGTGGTAGGCCACCAGCATCTTGCTGCGCCCGTCGGTCATGGGCGTGCCCTCCATCCCCGCCACGATGCGGTCGATGCTGTCGTCGATCTCGGCCTGGGTGATGGCCTCCTTGTTGCGCCGCCCCGTCAGGATGGCCGCCTCGTTCAGCAGGTTGGCCAGGTCGGCCCCGGAGAAGCCCGGCGTGCGCAGCGCCACCTCCTTCAGGTCCAGGTCGGGGCCCAGGATCTTGTTGCGCGCATGCACGCCCAGGATGGCCAGGCGCCCGCGCTGGTCGGGCACGTCCACCGACACCTGGCGGTCGAAGCGGCCGGGGCGGAGGAGGGCCGAGTCCAGGATGTCGGCGCGGTTGGTGGCCGCCACCACGATCACGCCGGCGTTCCCCTCGAAGCCATCCATCTCCGTCAGCAGCTGGTTCAGCGTCTGCTCGCGCTCGTCGTTGCCGCCGCCAACGCCGGTGCCGCGCGACCGACCCACCGCATCGATCTCGTCGATGAACACGATGCAGGGCGCGTTCTCCTTGGCCTGTTGGGTTTTGCGGGGGGGTCGTGTGGTGCGAGGTGGAGTGGTGGGCATCACGGAGGTGCATGATGGAGTTCAATGGGGAGAGGGGGGCATGGCAGCCCCAGCCTTCCTGCTGGGTGGCCCGCCAGCCATCCAGCAGCCACAGCCATCCAGCAGCCACATCCCTCCGTCTCCGACAAGAATCGTCTCACCTTCTTGAACAGGTCGCGCACGCGCGACGCGCCCACGCCCACAAACATCTCCACGAACTCAGACCCGGCAATGGAGAAGAAGGGGACGCCGGCCTCGCCGGCGATGGCCTTGGCCAGCAGCGTCTTGCCCGTCCCTGCGAGATGGCTTGAGTGGTGGGGGGTCAGGCAATCGGCAATGTCGCTTTTGCCCCGCCATGCACGACGCTGCTGCATCTCCTGCGCCGAGCCTGGGGGAGGCCAGGACCAGGAGGAGGGAACCCCAGAAAAACTATACATGGCTGTCGCAGCACTCACGTCCCTGCAAGATGGCTTGAGTGGTGGGGGGTCAGGCAATCGGCAATGTCGCTTTTGGCCCCGCCATGCACTACGCTGCTGCATCTCCTGCGCCGAGCCTGGGGGAGGCCAGGACCAGGAGGAGGGAAACCCGGGAAAACTATACATGGCTGTCGCAGCACTCACAGCCAGCGGACGAGCAGTCGACGGCCGCTCTTGCCTCCCCCTCGATACTGCGAGCAGTCGACGGCCGCTCTTGCCTCCCCCTCGATACTGTACAACATCCCTCCACCCCGCCGCGACCCTCCTCCCTACTGAACAGCACAGCCAGACAGAGTGAACCAGCAAACCCATGCCTGGACGCACCTGGGGGCCCGACCAGGAGCACGCCCTTGGGGATGCGGGCGCCCACGGCCGTGAAGCGCTCCGGCTTCTTCAGGAACTCCACCACCTCCTCAAAGTCCTGCTTGGCCTCGTCCACGCCGGCCACATCGGCAAAGTTGATGCCGGTGTTGGGCTCCATCTGGAAGCGCGCCTTGGACTTGCCAAAGTTCATGGGGTTGTTGCCGCCGCCGGGGCCGCCCAGGCCGCCGCCCTGGCGGCGGGAAAGCAGGAACAGGCCGCCCACCAGCAGCAGGGGGAAGGCGAGGTTGCCTGGGAGGAGCGGATGCAGGGTGGGTAGAGGTGGGTGGGTGGTGATGGGTTGGCGGTAGGTGCCCTCTCTCAGGGGGTAGACCTCCTCACATGCCATGCCACAGGGTTGGGATCAGCCCCCCTTTCGCGTCCAACCACTCTTCACCCTGAAGCCCTGACCCATCCAACTCCAGCCCCTGACCCAGCCAACTCCACCTCCTGACCCACTCACCCAGCAGGCCCAGGATCTGGCTGCCGCCGTCCTCGGTCTGCGTGTGGGCTGCAAAGTCCACCTTCTTCTCCCTGAACTTGGTCAGCAGCTCTGGCGGGGTGCCGGGAAGCTGCACACGGACGCGCTGCACCCGATTACCCAGCTCGGGGCTCACCGCCTCCACGATGGCGATGGTGCCGCCCTCGTACAGGTCGACCTGCATGCGGCAGGGGGCGTGGGTGTCGAGGAGTCCTGCACCGGCCCTCCAGTGCCAACCGACTGGCCCTGCCGCGGCAAGCCAGGCAAGGGTTGCATGCGTACATCGCTCAGCCCACAGACCAGCTCCACAAAGCCCTCATGAAGTTGAACAAAGAAATACAAACCACCCGCAGCGCCCCACCGACCTTCTTCACACGCCCCATGTCCAGGTACTCGAGGAAGCGGGAGTAGGACATGCGCGAGGAGGTGACGCTGTTGGCGTCCTCGGCCTTGGCCGCAGCCACGGCCAGCATGGAGGCGAGGCCGGTGCCCAGGCTGTGGAGTGATGAGGCGAGGCAGGTGAGTCGATGCAGCAGCTGGGTGCCCAGACAGCATGCAATTTCGTCCAGCATTCATGATCCCAACCCACCACCCCTCCACCATGATGCTCACCCCTTGAGAAGGGAACGCTTCTGAGGGTCCCTGGGACCCACGGTCTGCGAATGATGGGGATCAGGTGGGCAGGGGTGGGTCCAAGGCGCAACCTATAGTAGGCGCATGGAAAAGGCACATCCCAATGGCACCCCTGAACCCACTCCCGCTCCCGGACGACGACGGGTTACGACGCATTGCCTCACCTGGCTCGCTTTGCACGGCATGGCAGCTCTATGGCGACGCGTGGACCCTGCGATGAAGCCCCGGGCATGTGAGCAGCAGGGAAGCTTCTTGCTGACCCGCCCCTGGCTCACGACCTCTCATGCGCATCTCTTTGCTCCAGGCAAGTACCCCCCTGCATTCCACGCACCTGATGCAATGGGCAAGAAGGGCTTCTGGTGTCCCGCGGGCCTCAGCATGCCCGGTGTCATCGTGGACAGGCTCATTGCCACTGACGCCATGGTCAGGGACTATCTGCGAGAAGGAAAGCTCAGCCGCTGTGATTGATTGCTCTAAGCGGTTCTGAAACTTGAAGGTTTACTATGAAATACAAAGTGTCTGCTGCCACGAAGAATCTGGAGGGTTAATGACGAGACCGCATCCCACCTCTCATTCAGCGGGAGTCTGAAGCTCACTGGATCGCGAGGCCGGCAAAAACAAGAAAGCGCGGCTACGAGAGAATGCTTGGAATCTGCTTAGGCAAACAGATCCCTACCAGGCTTGCGCCGGTTGCACAGCTGCTTCCCGCAAGCGAGATCTGACTGGCGCAGTTGGTTGCCTCGATCGGCGAATCAGAGGGGGTGGGGGGGGTGGGAGGGCGGGAGAAGACGAAGCAGGGGTCCCACCAAAAGCTGTGGGACGAAGTGCATTCGCAAAAAAGCACTTGAGCAACATCAGGATGTTGACCGCCCCGTTGACGTCGCGGTTGACAACGTTGACCTTGAAGCCCTTGTTGACACAGCGCTTCGTGTCCCACAGTTCCGTCCACGACAACCCGCATCGCTCCAACTGTACCGAACCCTCTCCTAAAACTCCCCCTCTTCCTGCAGGTGCCCGACCCACAAGACAGCGAGCACAGAGGTGCTGCTGTCGCGGGTCGTAAGGATCGTCCCAAACCTGCGACAGGGCCTGGCCTGGCACAGGGACGAGAAGCCGTTTCGGAAGGTGCGCCACCAGGCCTACGTCGGCAGGGAGCGGGCCATCACCCGGCTGGCGGAGCAGTTCCGCGCTCCCCCCGGCATGACTACCATCGTCGGCGTGGGCAACTGGTCGGCCCAGGACCGGGGGGGCATCATGCGGGGGACTCCGCCTGGGCCCTGGATATGCTTCTTGCGGCGCCTGCGGCGGGTGTGCAGGGTGGTAGTGGTCGACGAACACAGGACTTCCAAACTGTGCTGCGCCTGTCACACCTCCCTGCACGCCCACCAGTACATGCGGGTGCGCCGAGGCGAGGAGAAGCTGGTGGACGTGTGGGACACCAAGCGGTGCACGAACAAGGGCTGCAACGTCAACGTCGTCAACCGCGACGTGAACGGAGCGGCCAACATCCTGATGCTAGCCAAGTGCTTTTTTAAGAATGCACTTCGTCCCACTGCATTTGGTGGACCCCCTGTATCGTCTTCTCCCGCCCACCCACCCCCTCTGGTTCGCCATTAGAGGCAACCAACTGCGCCAGTCAGATCCCGCTTGCGGGAAGCAGCTGTGCAACCGGCGCAAGCCTGGTAGGGATCTGTTTGCCTAAGCAGATCCCATGCTGCAACCGGTAACATTGACCCTCCCCATGGGATCTGGTGCAACGGGAGCTCGCCCGTCATGCACAGCACACCCTTGGTCCACCGTCCACTGCGAACCATCCCATCCCTGCCTGTTCCACAGTGCACTCCCACCTATGACTTGGAACTTACTTGCCGTCCCACGGCACCCTTACTATGTGTTTGCGACCCATTCACATGACAACCTTGGACCACAGGACACTTGCCCCTCCCTCTGGTATAAATACCCCACGACTGACATTGTAATGGCCTTGTTCTTGACAGTCTGTAGGTTACGTTGCACATTGACAGAGTAAGGTCATCCAAGGGCCACACAGACCGGAGGTTGAGTGCCTTAGAAACGCTAACTCTCCCGCCCCCCTGGGCGACCCTATGGGATCTGGCGCGCGGCGCACACCCTGGCACGTTGATGGGCCCCGACCTTACATCCGAGTGAACCCCCACCGAAGTACCTCAGTCTCGCCCTCAAGGCGATGCCTTAGCATTGCTGGACCCGCCTGTACCCAGTAGCCAGCTCACATGGACTCCTGCCGCCTCGCACGTGCGGCGGGTCCCCCACAGCACCGTCCCATTGCAACGGGCGGAAGGTACGTGCATGCGTCTGGCGTGGAGTTCAAATTGTGCCCGTAACTCGCAGCGCATTCGCCCATCCCCACTCCCCTCCCTCTCGCTGCACAGAGTGTCGAGGGCACTTGCCCGTTTCCGCAGTGGACCGCCCACCGCCAAGGACCTGCTGGCATGCCGAGGTGAGAAACGGCATCGCGCCAATGGGGCCCTGCGGTATGCCCTGTGAAGACGCCGTGGTCCCCCCCGCTTGCATGTGCACGGCCAGACGTTTGATTTCCCCCCCTTCTCAGGGCGGCTGGCGCGTGGACTGCCCCGGCAACAGCCGGCTCGCAGCTCCGCATCGGTTGCCAGGGCGGCATCCACCCTGCAGCAGGTGTGTGGAGGGACCTTCCCTGTGGTGCAGCATGCCCCTGGTGCATACGGCATCCGGCCTGCGATGCGGAGCGGCAGGGTGTAAGTGGCTGACAGCTGCCACCCTGCATAGGCCCCAGGTCTGGTACTGCAAATGCGAGGCCCATGCACCGGCTGGCGCCTGCAACACCCCGGCCTCCCTGCGATGCCACCCGGTTCCCCAACCCAACACACCCCTTCCATCACACGCACACACAGGCCTCGCCTGCATCTCCTGCCGCCGCCGCGGTGCTGCAGAAGCTGACTGCCGCGGGGCCGGGCGTCCTGCAGCTGTACCGCAGCCCCGGCCTGTCGGCCTCCAAGGCGGCCACGCTGCTAAAGCAGGCCCAGGCCAAGACCCTGCCCGAGGTCACGGAGATGGACACCGAGTTGTGCTACAACATCTCCCTGTCCCAGCCTCTGACCGCGGCCGAGGCCGAGACTCTGGCCTGGTGAGGAATGCTGGGGTGTCTGCGCTTGTGGGGGGTAGGGGGTGAAGCGGGGTCGCCTTGGGCCTGGAGCTTGTCCTTCGTGGGGAGGGGGTTAAGATAGGATTTGTGTGAGAATGGGAGAAGTTTGGGAGGAGGCCCTCCTAGGCAACACATCCAAAAGAGGGTCTGGCTGCGGCTCAACTCATTGTGTCGTCGTCGCCATTCAGCCGCAGCGACTGCACCCGACTCTCGCGCATGCTACATGCGCCACTGTCGCAACGGACGTCGACCTCTTCCTCCTTCCCTGCTACAGGTTGCTGCGTGAGACCTTTGAGCCGGAGCGGCTCACCCCCGACTCCAGCTTCCAGCTGGAGCCCCAGGATGCCGTGGTCGAGGTGGGTGGCTTTCAGCTGTGCTGGGTGGGTGCGGGACCGCTGTATGTTACTATCTGGAGGCACCTCCAGGTCACTCCCCAGCCTCTTCACTCCCCATCCCAACCCCCTCCCGATTATACCCCCGCCCCTCCCCCCCAAAATTTCCGCCAGGTCGGCCCGCGCATGAACTTCAGCACGGCCTGGTCCGCCAACGCGGTGAGCATCTGCGCCTCCTGCGGCCTGGGCAAGGTGGAGCGCGTGGAGGTCAGCCGCCGCTTCCGCCTGCGCGGCGGCGCCTCCACGGCCCAGCTGGCGGCCTTTGCCGCCAGCGTGCACGACCGCATGACGGAGGAGGTGTACCCCACGCCCCTGACCTCCTTCGCCTCCAGCGTGATCCCCGCCCCCGTCTTCACGGTGCCCGTGGTGTCGGAGGGGCGGGCGGCGCTGGAGCGCGTCAACGCCTCCATGGGCCTGGCCTTTGACGACCGCGACCTGGACTACTACACCGACATGTTCCGCAGCGGCATGGCCCGGGACCCCACCAATGTCGAGCTGTTCGACATCGCGCAGTCCAACTCGGAGCACTCGCGCCACTGGTTCTTCCGCGCCGCGCTGACCGTGGACGGCGCGCCCGTGCCCGAGTCGCTGATGGGCGTGGTGAAGAGCACGCTGGCGGGCTCCGCCCCCAACTCGGTGCTGGCCTTCAAGGACAACTCGTCCGCCATCCGCGGCGGGCCCGTGCGCACGCTGCTGCCCGAGACGCCCGGCGCGCCCTCCGCGCTGGCGCCCGCGCGGCGCGACCTGGACCTGCTGCTGACCGCGGAGACGCACAATTTCCCCTGCGCGGTGGCGCCCTACCCCGGCGCGGAGACGGGGGCGGGCGGCCGCATCCGCGACACCCACGCCACGGGCATCGGGTCGCTGATGGGCGCCGCCACGGCCGGGTACTGCGTGGGCAACCTGCTGCTGGAGGGCTACGACCTGCCCTGGGAGCAGGCCGACGCGGCGTACCCGCCCTCCCTGGCGCACCCGCGCCAGATCCTGACCGACGCCTCCAACGGCGCGTCGGACTACGGCAACAAGTTCGGGGAGCCGCTGGTGGCGGGGTACACGCGCTCCTTCGGCCAGCGGCTGGCGGACGGCTCGCGCCGCGAGTGGCTCAAGCCCATCATGTTCTCCGGCGGGCTGGGCCAGATCGACCACGGGCACCTGGAGAAGACCCCCCCCGGCCTGGGCATGCTGGTGGTCAAGATCGGGGGCCCCGCTTACCGCATCGGCATGGGTGGCGGCGCGGCCAGCTCGCTGCCCTCCGGCTCCAACTCCGCGGAGCTGGACTACGACGCGGTGCAGCGCGGCGACGCCGAGGTCAGCCAGAAGCTGTGGCGCGTGGTGCGCGCCTGCGTGGAGCTGGGCCCGGCCAACCCCATCCTGTCCATCCACGACCAGGGCGCGGGCGGGAACTGCAACGTGGTCAAGGAGATCATCTACCCGCTGGGCGCGGAGATCGACGTGCGCGCGGTGCACCTGGGCGACGCCACCATGTCGGTGCTGGAGATCTGGGGCGCGGAGTACCAGGAGAACGACTGCCTGCTCATCGCACCGAAAGACCGGCCGCTGCTAGAGGCGCTGGCCGCGCGCGAGCGCTGCGGCGTCCAGGTCATCGGCACCATCGACGGCTCGGGCCGCGTGCGCGTCGTCGACCGGCAGGCGCCCGCGGGCGCGCCCACCCCCGTGGACCTGGACCTGGAGCTGGTGCTGGGGGACATGCCGGACAAGGCCTACGCCTTCAGCCGGTCCCCCGCCCCCGCCGCGCCGCTGGACCTCGCGGGCGCCACGCCGGCTGACGCGCTGGACCGCGTGCTGCGCCTCCCCGCCGTCGCCTCCAAGCGCTTCCTGACCAACAAGGTGGACCGCTGCGTGACGGGCCTGGTGGCCCAGCAGCAGGCGGTGGGGCCTCTGCACACGCCGCTGGCCGACGTGGCGGTCGTGGCGCAGAGCCTGTACGGCCGCACCGGCGCGGCCACCTCCATCGGCGAGGCGCCGCTCAAGGGGCTGCTGGACCCCGCCGCCATGGCGCGCCTGGCGGTGGGCGAGGCGCTGACCAACCTGGTCTGGGCGCCCGTCACCGCGCTGGAGCACGTCAAGGCCTCGGTCAACTGGATGTACGCGGCCAAGATGGGCGGAGAGGGCGCGGCCATGGTGGACGCCGCGCTGGCCATGCGCGAGGCCATGGCCGTGCTGCGCATCGGCGTGGACGGGGGAAAGGACTCGCTGTCCATGGCCGCCGCCGCGGGTGAGCGAACCGGCTGTTTACCTGGTGGTGGTGGTAATCGGGGGGGCGGGGGGAGGGGGGGTGGATGTGTGTTTGTGGGGAGAATGCGTGGGTCCTGCGCCGGGCAGGTGAGACTCCTCCACCCACGCAGGCATGCGCATCCATCTTCCAAGCATGCACCGAATCCAGCCGCATGCACCAGGCCATCTCCTCCCTCCATCTGGGTGACATGCAACTACTGACGAGTCAACCTGGCCCAGACAATCGCATTCCTTCCCAGCTCCCCTAACATCCCCCCCCCCAACCTACATCCCGTCAGGCGGCGAGACGGTGATGGCCCCCGGCAACCTGGTGGTCTCCGCCTAAGTGGGCTGCACCGACATCACGCGCATCACCACCCCCGACCTCAAGGCCCCGGGCGCCAGCTCCCTGCTCCACGTCGACCTGGGCGCGGGGCGGCCCCGCCTGGGCGGCACCGCCCTGGCCCAGGTGTACTCCCAGCTGGGCGACGAGGCGCCCGATGTCGACCCCGCGCTCCTGGGCGCCGCCTTCCGCGCCACCCAGGCCCTGCTGGCCACCGCCGACTGCCCCGTCCTGGCCGGGCACGACGTCAGCGACGGCGGCCTGGTCGTCGCCGCGCTGGAGATGGCCTTTGCCGGCAACTGCGGGCTGGAGCTGGGGCTGGAAGGCGCGGCGCACGCCCGCGACGCGGCGCACGGCGCACTGGCCCCGCTCTTCGCCGAGGAGCTGGGCCTGCTCCTCGAGGTCGCCGCGGGGCGGGAGGGCGAGGTGCTGGCGGCCTACGCGGCCGCCGGCGTGCCCTGCGCGCGCGTGGGCGCCAGCCTGGCGGCCGACGAGGTGCGGCTGGCGGTGGGCGGGGAGGTGGTGGTGGCCGGGGGCGCGCGCGACCTGCGCGACGTCTGGGAGGCCACCTCCTTCGAGCTGGAGAAGCGGCAGACCGCTCTCGAGTGCGTCGAGTCTGAGCGCGCCGCGCTGCGCAGTGCGGAGGCCCCCACCTGGGTCGTGCCTTACGTCCCCGCCTGGACCCCCGCCGACAAGCTGGACGCTGGAGGTGAGCGCGTGTGGGGGGAGGTGTCGTTCTTTCAAGCGAGGGCCCGGGGACGGCTGTTGTTGACCGAGTGCTGCGCTGCGGTGAGGTGGGGATTCTGTATCCAGGATGGGGGTGCCGATGGGGCTCCTGCATCCCTGCCTGTGCGTGTGGATGCGCTGCGACGTGCCGTTATGGAGACGTATCGACCTCGGTGCCCGGCCTTGCTCCGCAATGCACAGGCCTTGCAACCCCCTTCCCCTACCCCTCCCCACCCAAACAATCGACAGACAAGGTGCGTGTGGCGGTGATCCGCGAGGAGGGGACCAACGGCGACCGCGAGATGGCGGCTGCAGTGCAGATGGCGGGCATGGAGCCGTGGGACGTCACCATGTCCGACCTGCTCTCCGGCGCAGCCACCCTGGACTCCTTCCAAGGTGGGTTTGTCGGAGGGGTGGTGGAGGGGGCTTGGGGACCGGGGTCCAGTGTGTGAGGTTCCCTACGGATCACTAGCCGTGCTCTGGGCATGCATGGGTGAAGGTCGTTGGGCGGACTCCCGTGGTTGCGTACACCCCGTGACTTCCTTCCTTCCTGGGCTGTGCCCTGGGCTCCCCTGGTTGACCCTCGGCCGCCACCCCCACCCACCATGTGTCACCACCATAGTATTGTGACCACCACCTCACCCCCCCACAAACCAAACTCCAGGCATCATCTTCCCCGGCGGCTTCAGCTACGCCGACGTGCTGGACTCTGCCAAGGGCTGGGCGGCCACCATCCGCTTCAACTCCCGCCTGCTGGGCCAGTTCCAGGCCTTCTATGCCCGCCCCGACACCTTCTCCCTGGGCGTCTGCAACGGCTGCCAGCTCATGGCCCTGCTGGGCTGGGTGCCGGGCACCGGCGCGGGGACCGGCGCGGCGGGGCCCCTGCTCCCCGACGCGGCCCAGCCCCGCTTCACGCACAACGCCTCCGGCCGCTTCGAGTGCCGGTGGAGCAGCGTGGCGATCGACCCCGACACCCCCGCCGTCATGCTGCGCGGCATGGGCGGCGCGCGCCTGGGCGTCTGGGTGGCCCACGGCGAGGGCCAGGCCCTGTTCCCCGACGAGGCCGTGCGCCGCGACGTGCTGGACCGCCACCTGGCGCCCATCCGGTGAGTGGGTTTTCTGGGGATTCTTGTTTGGTTGTGGGAAGGAAGGATGTTGTTGGGCGGACGGACCCTGTGGGCGGCCTTCTTTTCCTACTTTTCATCCAGCTCACGATCGAATCAGCCCCCCTTTTTCCCCCCCAACAACCTAAAAAACCCAAAAACCCAATCCAGGTATGTGGATGCCGTGGGCAGGGAGACGCAGGAGTACCCCTACAACCCCAATGGCTCCAGCGACGCCGTGGCCGCGCTGTGCTCGCCCTGCGGGCGCCACCTGGCGCTGATGCCGCACCCAGAGCGCTGCCTGCAGATGTGGCAAAACCCGTGGTGGCCCGCAGAGACGGGGCTCAAGCCAACCGACCCCAGCCCCTGGCTCAAGCTCTTCCAGAACGCGGCCGAGTGGGCGGCGTCCGTGCGCAGGGCTTGATGAAGTGATGGTGTTTCGGAGCTGGCGCTCGGCCGGCGGTATGCCTCCACCGACCGGGGCCTCCTCGCTAGGACACCTTCTGACGCCATTATTGTGTTTGATATCATTCACGATGTACAGGAAACGAGTAAGAGATGCCGCATTCAGTCCACACAGAAAGGTTGTGATGGGCCATTCCTGGGGAAACAGTCATATGAAGGGGGGGGAAAGGAAACCGGATGGCATTGTCATGCGAGCTGATGCTGCGCTGCAGAGGTAAGCATGTGGCTCCCGGCGGAGACTCTGGCGGCAGGTCACGGAGGTTGCATGGCTGGCAAAGCGGATACAAGGAGGGGGTGAACTGACGCTTTCCAGGCCATGCTGCGTGCCTGCACGGAGCGTGACGGTGAGCTGCGAAAGAGGCTGCGGATGTGGCGCGGCTGCTGCAACAACTCACGCCCTCAGTTGGCGACGATGCGCTTGGCGCGGCGCTCGCAGAGCACGTCCCCCGCCTGGCAGCACCGGCCGCAGGAGCGGCGGCAGCGTGCCGCCTGGTCCTCCAAGCATGGCGCGCCTTCCCTCCCTGCCAGCAGCGTCGCGCAGGTGGTGGACTGGTCCTCGCAGGCAGGGGCGGGGGCGGAGTCGATGTCGGCCAGCAGCGACCCCGGGCTGCGCCGGAAGGGGTTGTCGTGGATCCAGAAGGTGCTGCTCCATTTTTCTCCGGCCAGCACCGGGCACCCCGTGTGCAGGCTGTACCGGTCCAGGGTTACCCCTTTGACAGGAAAGCAGGGAGAAGGGGGGATGCTTATGGGCGGGGCACATGAGACTTTTGACGGGCAGGGGATGGGGCCCAGGGCAGGGCACAGCGGATCATCCTGCAAGGTATGGGCGTGCTCACATCCAGCCGGCCCATGAGGGGGAATGCGTTTCATTGCCCGCAGACCCCCGGCCACCACCAGTGAGGTTCCAACTGCGCCGGTCCCACCTTTTCCCTCCTCCCCATCCTTTCCCCTGCGATCCAGCACGTACCGTCGGGCTTCATGTCCCAAAACATAATGGCGTCGCCCTTTCTTGCTAGGGCCGCCGGCCCCTTTGCCGCGCAGGCGCTGAACTCGGTGCGGTTCTGCACCGCGGCGTCCAGCCAGAAGCCGCCGGGGAAGGCTGTCTCGCCGCCGTACTCCACGTCGGACAGGTACATGAGCACGGTGCAGATGCGGCGGGAGCCACCGCCGACGGGCGTCCCGTCCTCCGCTGCACGCTCGTCCCAGTGCGCGTCGTACTTCTGGCCGTCGACGTACTTGAGCACCTGCATGTCCTCCATGTGGGAGACGGGCAGGTGCACCCAGCGGCTCACCCGCTCCTCAATCCCGGAGATGACCTCATCCTGGGCAGACCTGGGCGTAGGGGTGTTCGAAGGGAGGGTGCATGGGAGGGGGGATTGGGGGGTTTGGGTCTCAGCCGGACGAGCAGGCTCGGACTACACTGCCATGGTGCACCTTCGTTCCTGGCATATGGCCCATTCTCCACGTCTTCAGGTACCTGAGGAAGGTGCCATAGCTGGTGCGGACCTCGTGCGCATCCGAGACACTGTCGTCGTCGTTCAGGACACTGGAGCGCGTGATGTGCGGCTTGGCCAGCGTGACCACATGATCCGCCTCGGCCTCGCTCAAGAAGTTGTGGTACAAGTAAGCACGCGGCCTCCAGGAAATTTGCTCGATCCAGGGCCTCTGCGAGGCTGCACCGGAGGACGTCACGACGAGGAGGGCGAAGCTCAGTACGGCCAGCGCCATCCCATACATGCCGACCCGGGCTCTGACGCCGTCGAGACTGGGTTATTACCTTATCTTGCCGGCATGGTCTGTACGATGACCACCCTGTGTGCCTGAGCCATGCTCCAGCTCGAGCGCTTGTGCTGTCCGACGAGACGATACCTTGAGCCACGTGACCACAGATCTTCAAAGCGCGCCCGGACTCCGCTTTCTTTCCCTCGTCACAGAAGCGAGGCAAGCCTAGCGCCCTGGGTACCAACAAACCCAGGCTGGTCCACGGCCGAGGTCCTTAATAATTGCTCAGTCTGTTCATGGCCCACGCACGCTCGTCGCCGTTGCAGCTCGCCCTCCAGCTCGCGATCGGTGGTGGTCTGGGCGTTGTGGTGTACAAATCCCTCTACAAGACACCCACTGTCCCACTGCCCTCTCTGGAGGAGCGCTTGGAGGCAGAGAGTCTCAACACCACCGGTAGCCACTGGGGACTGCGGTCTGCCAGCACCGCACCCACCCTCCGGCCAGCTCCTCAAAGGCCAGCCCATGACCGGCACGCTTGACTTTTACCCGGCCCTGCGCCTGCAGCGCCTGGGGTCTGTGGCCGTTGTTCAGCCGGTATGGGAGTCTGGAGAACCCCTGCCCGCCCTGACGGTGGACCTGGAGACTGGCAGCCTGGCAGCCAGCGAGCACCCCCATGTGACCTCCGACTTTGTGCCCTGCTTTGGCGTGCTGGGTATGCTGCGCCTGGAAGGCGGCCCCGCCCTCGTCGTCATCACCGGCGTGTCTGCGGTGTGTTGGGTCCTGAGCGGTATGGACTGCTCTGCATGGGCATCAGGCGTCAGGGTCTGGCAATCTGACCACAAACCACACGCATGTCTCATGAATCTGTCCCTGACTCCGTGTACTCCCCCCCGTTTTCCATTCTCAGGCTGGCATCGTGCGCGAGCACCTGGTGCTCAAGGTCACCTCGACCAAGGTGCTGTACGACACGAGCCACAAGTGGAGCAAGAGTGACAAGAAGTAGGCAGAAGAGAACATGGGTCCAAAGAGATTTGCCGAATCCAGGTTGCAGGTGGCATTCACACCCGGACCCAGCCACGCTCAGCATCTCCTCCCTCTGCCTCTCACCCTTCCCAGGCTGCTCAAGCTGCTGGCGGCGGGCGTGGACCCCAAGCAGTACGGCGGCAGCCTGTACTTCAGCCACGCGGGGGACATCACGCTGACCGCGCAGCGTGCAGAGCGCGTCGCGGCAGACCCGCAGACGGCGGCCGCGCGCGCCTGGCAGCGCGCCGACCTGGACGTGACCTGGAACGCAGCCCTGGCCAGGCCCCTGCTGGGTGGGTGTGCGGTGGCGAGGTTCTTGTTAGGAGGCTGTTTGGGGGCTGCCGACGAGGGCGTGCAGAGCGGGAGCCAGCAAGCTCAGGTGCTTGCGGAGTTGGACCGTGGCAGTGGAGATGCAGAGGCTCTGAACCTTTGTCAACCCCTCCACATTGCCCAGTGGTGTGTTTGCAGCCACCACCCTGTTTGCTGGAGGTTGCCGTACATGTAGCCCCATCCTCCTTGTCAACCGCCATTCCAGATGCGGGGCTGGATGCCTATGTCCCTCCCGTCTTCATGGGATTTGTGGAGCAGCTGAACGGCCTGGACTTCCTGGGCGGCGGGCGCCAGGTCAGCCTGGGCGTGACCCTGATTGCACGCAGGTCCAGGCACCGCCCGGGCACCCGGCAGTGGAGGCGTGGGGCGGACCAGCAGGTGAGGGCCGGAGAGTGTCTGGGGTGCAGGGTCCGTTGAGGGTCAGGCTGGGCGGGGGAAGGCGTGGGCACGGAGACGGGATGCTGCGCGGGGTGGCTCGTGGACGGCGGCTCGATACGTTTGACTGGCCCATGGAGGGAAGTTCAGGACGTTTTGACAGCACCGGCGGCCATTCGGCGACGCTCCCTTGTGACTGGTATGACAGGCACCCTGGCGCTGCCCTGTGCGGATGCCAGCTCGTGCCATGCATCCTCCTTACAAATCCCCCCCCCGCCCCCCCAAAAAACCCTACTCTCACAACGAATTTGTCCCTGCTTTGCCAGTCCCACGTGGCCAACTACGTGGAGACGGAGCAGATCGTGTCGGACGGGGAGGGCGCGCTGCTGTCCTCCTTTGTCCAGGCGCGGGGCTCTCTGCCCCTGCTCTGGTCCCAGACGCCCTGCCTGAAGTACAAGATCCCGCTGCGCCTGGCGCCGCCCTCGGCCTCGGCCCCCGTCTTTGCCGGGCATGCGGACCGGATGGTGGAGGTGCACGGCGCGGTGACGGCCATCAACCTGGCAAACCAGGGCGGGCGGGAGGGGGTGCTGAGCGCCGCGTACGTGGCGGCGGCCGACGCCTACGCCGCCTCGCGCTCAGGCTTCCGCCTGGTCCCCTTTTGACTTCCACGCCATGTGCGGCGCGACCAACTACGCGCGCCTGTCGGTGCTCTGGGACGAGCTGGCCCCTGACTTTGAGCGCTACGGCGCCTTCACACGCGACGGCGCGTCGGGGGCCGTGGCGGGGCGGCAGCGCGGCGTGTTCCGCACCAACTGCGTGGACACCCTGGACCGCACCAACGTGGTGCAGGGCCTGCTGGGGCGCAAGGCGCTGGAGGCCACGCTGCGCGCGCTGGGCCTGCTGGCGCCCGGCGCGGCGCTGGCCGCCGCGTACCCGGAGGCGGAGCGCCGCTTCCGCGTGGCCTGGGCCGACCACGGCGACGAGGTGTCGCGCCAGTACGCGGGGACGGGTGCCATGAAGTCCGCCTTCACACGCACGGGCAAGCGCGACGTCTGGGGGCTGCTGGACGACGGCGCCAAGTCGCTGACGCGCTACTACCTGAACAACTTCCAGGATGGCGCTAAGCAGGACGCCATTGACCTCGTCACGGGGGCGTTTGTCGTCAAGACGGGTGGGTGGGTTGAGTGGTCAAGGTAGGGTGTGTGTGTGTGTGTGTGTGTGTGCCGGGGGGAACCAGCGAGACGGTGGGCCAGGCACATCCTCACCACCTTGTCAACGATCCTGGACAAACGCTGCCGTCTCGCAGGGAGGGAGGTGCAGTTCAGGAGCCAGCCTTCCCCGGCCCTCCCTCTCTTGGCCGTCCTGGTGGCGATCGTGGTGGCTTTTCAGAACGCTGGGAGGATCCTGGCCGGACAGGTGGGTGCCTTGCTCTGGGGTTACACTGGCGGGCAGTCTGCTCCTGCCACAGGCGGAGGGGCTGGTCTGTTTCGACGGCCCATGCCCATCTCTCCCGCCCACTCCGCCTGTCGAATTTTGGCAGGCCACCAACCCAAGCTCAACCCCACCCCCGCCTCTCCACTCCGCTCCTCAGGATCAGGCTTCCAGCGGCGCCCTGGCTCTCCTCGGCGCCTTCGTCCAGAGGGTGGTCCTGCTTCTCATCCTGGCGCTAGGCGTCGTCATCTTCCTGTTCAAGAATGGGCGCAGGTTCGTGGACCAGCCTCAGTTGCGAAAAGACGCCGCGCGGCCATGGGGTTCCGACTCCTCCTGAGCGGGCTAAACCTGCGCACTGCCGTTTCGGCTGCACGGTGCCCCCTCCTGCCTTTGGTCCTCGCAACCTTTCACCCCCTTGCGTGCTTCCCATTCCTTGAGCCAGTAGCCCTCGACCCCGTTGCCTGGCCGACCCGGGTGTTACAATACAGCAGAGCGCCACCAGAGTCAAGGAAAATTAGGGGGTGCCAAGAATGCTGCTGCGGGGGGGTGGGTGGGGCCAGGGGATCTCAGTCATGCAGTGGCAGCTACACGTGTCATGATGTGCACAGCTTCCCAGTCATGCCGACTGAGTCTCAAGCGTTGCTCGGAGGCGCCTGTCGAGGCCCCAAGCACTACCGCACCGCGCCGACCATGGGGCCCTTGCCGCTAGGCCATACCAGTTGGATGATCAGTACCTCCCAAAGTCACCCTGCCTGGCCCCAGCCAGCCTGTGCACACCTGGAGGGGGCTTCAGTCCTCGCGGTTCAGGATCTTGTCAACGATGAACCTCTTCCTCGCGCTGAGCGGCCTGGAGGGCGCCAGCTCCACCACGTCCCCCACCCGGGCCTGGTCCGCCTCGTCATGGGCCGGGTAGCGCTTGGTGGTGCGGATGCGCTTCTTGTACACGGGGTGTATGCTCCAGCTCTCCACCGCCACCACCGCCGTCTTGTTGGATGCGATGGACACCACCTTGCCCATGAGGCGCTGCGCGGCCTGCACCTGCAGCCCCGGCCCCCGCTGCAGCACGGGCTGGGGTCGCCGGGTTCCGAACACCCCGGCCAGCTGCACCCTGGAGCCAAGGCTCGTGGCCATGGAGATGCTCATCCTGATGCGGGTGCAGGGTATGGTGTGATGTGAGGAATGGATGGGGCACACTGCGGGGGTGTCGCCGTGAGAGGCAGGTCATGTGAGGGGAGGGACCCCCTGCGCGCGGCATGCGTGTCATGGGGACCTTATCCGCCGGCAGGACGAGCGGGTGCTGCGTCCCCACCCGACCTCTCCTACCCCCGGCTGAATACCCAGAGTTTCAAATGCAAGCACGAGGGAGGCAGCGAGAACGATCGGGGGTGTGAGACTGTGTATGGCAGGGCTCTCTTATGGGGACGGGGTGGGGGCATGCGTGCATGGGCACCCGAGCACGGGGTTCCTCTGAACAGGCCCCCGGGCGTGGATATCCTCTGCAAGCTCCCACGCGCGCGTCAGGTCGACGAGTGGCGCCGGGGCATGGGGGCCCGCGCAGCTGCTCGCCGCCGCCTTTCGATGGCCTGTCGGCGTGGCATGAGGGCGGCCACGCCCGCCGCCGGCACTGGGTGCCTGCCCGTCCCGCCCGGTCCCTGCCCGCCTCACTGCGAGGGGGGGCTGGCGCAGACGGCGAGCACCTCGCCCAGGACCTCGGTGCCGTGCAGCGTGGCGACCGCGCGCGCGGCCGACTCCGCGTCGCGGAACTTGACCATGGCCAGGCGCACGTCGGGCAGCACCCGCACCGCATCCACGGGGCCGCAGCGCGAGAAGACGTGGCTCAGCGCATAGTCCGGCAGCGGGCGGGCCAGGCGCGAGTAGACCACGGTGGGGTCGGGGTCGGCGGCGTCGCCACGCGGCCGCAGGCCGGCCGCGGCCGCATGGCCGGCGCCCGCGGCCCCAGCGCCGAGCGCGCTGGTGGCGGAGCCGGCGCCGCCCTCGGGCGACAGGTCGTGCCAGGAGGACGTTAGTGACCCGCTCAGCGTCGTGCCCGGGCTCAGCGCGCCCAGCGCGCCGCCTGGGGTCGTGTAGCCCTTGAGCCCCTCCAGCCCCCCGCCATCCAGGCACAGGCCGGCCAGGTGGTCGGCGGCCGACAGCAGGTCTGGGGTTGAGGAGGAGAGCAGGGGGGAGTGCAGGGGGGAGGCGCGGCGCCGCGGCAGCACCCCGGACTCGCAGGACAGCGGCGAGCCCAGCGCTGCGCCCTGGGTCTGCGCCGCGTACCGGTCGACGCCGGGGGTCTGCGCGCCATAGTGGTCGACGCCGGGCGTCTGCGTCGCAAAGTGGTCGACGCCGGGCGTCTGCGTCGCAAAGTGGTCGACGCCGGGCGTCTGGGCTGAGAAACGATCTCCGGGCGCCTGGGCTGAGAAACGATCTCCGGGCGCCTGCGCGGCGAAGCGGTCGCCAGGCGCCTGCGTCGCATACCTCTCACCCACGCCCTGGCTGCGGCCCATGTAGCGCTCGCCGTCGCGCTCGCCGCGCGCGCCCAGCTGGCCGCCGCCCGGCGTGGACAGGTAGCGCAGCTCCTCCACGCCCACCGCCCCCCCCCCGCCGGCCAGGCCTGCCAGGTTGAAGGGCGTGCCCGCGTCGGCGCAGGAGTCGGCGGAGCCGGAGCGCGCGCGGTGCAGCGCCGGCTCGGCAAACATGACCTTCATGCGGCAGCCGGAGCCGGGGGGGAACTCGGCGCCGTTGAGCCGCGCCTGCGCAGCCGCCGCCGACTCGTGCGTCGCATACTTGACGTAGGCGTAGCCCTTGGACCGCCCCGTGGCGCGGTCCTTCTTCAGGTCGCAGTACTCCATGCCGGGGAAGGAGCGGAAGAGGCACGCCAGCGTCTCGTCGCCCACAGACTGGGGGTTGGGGGGTTGGGGGAAGGTGTGTGTGGTGGGGGGGGGTCCGAAGAGGGGTGAATTCGAGGTGTTTCCCCATGGGAAGGCGCGAGCGTGCTGCATGGGACCATCGCCGTGTCCGTGCGGCCCACACTTCTGCCTGGTGACCCTGGGACACACAGTGTGCATGCCGACCATGAACGCCTCCACCCCTGCCTGAACCCCACTCCCACCGAGTGGAGACCAGCAGTCACCCAGACAAGGGACACACCTTGTGCAGAACGACGAAGAGGCGCTGGCGGCTGAGCTGCGAGGCGGAGGAGGAGGCCGACAGCGAGGGCGTCATGGGCGACAGGAACCCGGCGCCCCCGCCGCCCAGGGTCACGGAGTCCAGGCCCACCAGCCCCGCGGCCTGCGCGTACTCCGCACCCACGTGTGCCAGGCCCGAGAAGTCGAGGTCCGCCAGCGCGCCGGGTGGCGCGGCCGCATGGTGGTCGTAGGGGCCCGGCGTGCCGCCCTGCTGCTGCTGGTGCTGCTGCTGGAGCTGCTGCTGCTGCTGGTGGTGGAGCGCGTGCGCGCCGGCGTCGCCCAGCCCGCCGCCCAGCAGGGGCAGGGCGTAGGGCGACAGGCCCGCGCCGTGGAACAAGCCCCCGCCCAGCCCCGCGTAGGACAGGTCGGCGACGGCGGGCGCGCCCCGCGCGCCGCCGGCGCCGCCGGCGAGCAGGGCCTGCAGCGCGGCGGCACGCGCGTGGCCCGCGGCGGCGGCGCCGCCGCCCAGCATGCCCGCCGCCGAGCTGGCGGAGGGCGAGCGCCGGACCTTGGGCTCCGCCAGCATGATCTTGACGCGGTATCCGGCCACCTGGCCAGAGGCCTGCACCGCCTCCATGGCGGCGGCGGCAGAGCTGGAGCGCGCGTACTTGACGAAGACGATGCCCTTGGAGGCCACCAGGTCGGTCTTGCAGTACTGCAGGTCGGGGAAGGCAGACATGGCCGCCTCGATGGCCGAACCGTCCGCGGACTTGGGCACCACCAGGAAGAGGCGGCTGCGACGCGGGGAGTTGTCTGGGTCCAGGCTCGCGTCCTCGCAGGCGCGCGGCACGGCCGTGCCCATGTACATGCTCCTGCACGGGGTATCGAGTGGAGTGGGAGGTGGGGGGGGGGGGGAAGAGAGTTCAACGAGGGAGGTGGGGGGGGGGGGGGGTGGGGAAGGAGAGTTCAACGAGGGAGGGGGGGGGGGGGGACGGGATGGATAGGACACACCGTGGCATTCCTGATTGGGTCGCCCTCTCCACTCCGCTGCGGTACAGACCAGGCAGGCAGGCGCGCGCGTTGCAATGTGGTACTTGCCATGGCGCAGGCGATTGGGGCCGCGCCGGCCTCCAGGCATGTGCACACATCGGGGCAGACCCTGGATCCGGCCCTTGCTCCCCCTCCAGCCCCCGTCCCTTCCGCGCGCAACAACCAGGGCAAGCACCTCATGTGGGGCGATTCCGCCAGGATGACCTTGAGTCGAGGTCCCCTGCCATCGTTCAGGGTCACCTCATGCAGGTTCTCGATGGCCAGGGCCGCTGAGGAGGCCCGGTCATACTTGACGTACGCCACCCCTGGTGTGGTGGAGGGGAGTGCCAGCATGATGAGGGGAGGCATTGGTGGCAGGACGTGGCATCTCGGGGCGCATGCGGTCACATGCTGCCACGGGGACACTGCATGCCATTCATCGGGTGGAGTGGTGGACCCGGGGCGGGGAGGGGAAGGCCACGCCACAACCGGGCCCGCCTGATCGCAGAGTGCCGGCGGGCTCCGCGCAGGGCAAGGGTGCGGGAAGCTTCAATCACGGATTCATTCAACGACCCCGAGTCAGCCCGGGAATGCAGGAAGGAGGCCCCCATTCCCGCTTCGGCGGGCAATGAGGTCCAGGTGCCGTCCACTCACCCTTGTCCCGCAGATACTTCACGAATGACACCACACCGAACTGCTCGAAGACATCCCTGAGAAACTCCGCCTGCGACGACACAAGGAGGACTCGGTGAGGGAGGGGAGGGGGTTGGGTGAGGGGGTTGATGGGGCCCGGGTATTGTTACTCACGCTGGTTGCACGCCCGGCGACCACGAATAGCCGGGAGTTCGGCGGGTCATCGATGTCCAGGGACATGGCGATGTCACTCTTCACTCTCCATTGGGGAGCCGCCTCTAACCGGTCCTCAGGGTGCCCGCCATCTCCCTTTATACCCGGAAGCGGACCTTCCCTTGGACACCGGGGAAGGTGGGGGCACCCGTCATGCACAGCAGGGGGCGAGGGCTGCACAGCCCATTCCCGGACAGTCTGCCGGATTCCCACCCTGAACGAACATGCATCACCTCTTTTCACACCATGCATGTCAAATTGCTGTTGCGGAGGTGTTCTTGGACGGCGAGCCCGGCGTTTTGCTGGGCATTATGGAAAGGCCTAGGACTAGGCAGGCGCTGACAAGGATCATGAAATCGGATCCAGGGGCCCGAGATCGAGGCACAGGGGTAACGCGGGATTCCAAGGACCGTGGTCATCTTTTGTGCACTGGGCTCCCGTGTCACCTCTGTGCAGCTACGAGCTGGCATACCCCAGCACTGGTGCGCTGGAAAGCCGCCCACCTACCGTTAAATCGGGACCACACCTCACAGAGAGGTGGGAGGGACCCTCAATGAACCCCGCCTCCCAGTGCTCTCTTCAGCTACTCTGTGCTGGGTCGCTGCATGCAGCTGCACGGCATCAGCCTGCTCCCTGGGTCAGGCACTGTTCTCGAAAACCTTGGCACACTCAGTCTGACACTGATGGTGGCGCGCAGCTCTCGGCGATTCGCACACGCACGGATTGGAACGTTATTTTGAGCGAATAAGTAGTTTCTCGGTCCATAGAAGCACACAGAGTGAGGCTTGGGTTTGGTGCGAGTGACCGGGTCGGGCAGGCGTCCGGGACGTGGCCGGAAACGGTTGGCGCCGATCGAGTTCTGCGGCCTGGGGCTACTCACATGCTTTTAAAGCCTAGATCGGATGACTTGAATGAGCGCCGACACTTCCCCGGCGGACTTACCGTTGCAAGTTCCCTGCAGATGTCGGTGGGTGGCACGGGGACCTTTCTGGCTGGCCGACTCAGCATCCAACGCTGTAGAAACAAAGATGGTGTTGAAGCTCACCTGAATTCGTCGAGGTTATCGTTGCGCGACAGTCAGACTTGGACATCACACTGGCAAAGATTCTCGATCGCGGCAATCCGCGTTCGCCACCTCGGGCATTAGAGCTGCTGCACGTGGCCACAAGGGGTCAGGCAAGAGTCCATCATGTCCGGATCTCTCTATCGACGGCATCTTGCTACATGGATGCAGGACAAGGGTTTCAGATGTAATCACGGATGTGAGATTTATATCCCTGATAAACGTCCACCACAACCCATGTGCACAAGCTTCCCTTACCGGTATGTTGCACACCACAGCATCTGTTGATTGCATATTAGTTGCTCGTTAGATAGTAATACTATCTCACAGAAGGCGGTCCCAGAAGCGTGCCCGTAGCAAGTTCGCTGGATTGTGAGCTCAGCTTGGGGGTTCCCTCTTACCAATCATGTGATGGCAAGACTCGACAGCCGTGGTTCCATGCTGTACATATATATACACTGAAGCAATTATTCTCATCTACTAGATTATCGTGTTCATGCATCCCTGTTATCACACATTCATTTACCGTGGTTAAGTATCCATCAGCTTCCCGACAGGTGCAGGCTGCGTTTCGGAAATTGTAATGAGATTGAAGAAAGCGAAGAATTCATGCATGAACCCGGCTTGCGAGAAGACCGGCCCCCTCGAGGCAACGGAGACCGGGAGGCAACCACCCTGGAGCCTCTTGAAGTGCACCTTCCAGCCATATTAGAGCACGAGAGTATGCCGACTTGTTTGGAAGGCGACCATAAACCAGCGTGTGATTCCGCAAGAGGTGTGAAACCCCACCCACCGCATGATGGCGAGCAGGATACCGCGGAGCCTCCTGCTCTGCCTCGTGTCCAGCTTCCTACTACACAGCGTCGTGGCCGACAGCAGTTCTGCACCAGTGGGTATTGCGCAGTCCTCCAGAAGCTTGAGTGTCCTGGATCCGCCTGCTCCCTGTCGGCAATGGCCGGACCCGCGAGCCTGCCTCCCGCATTTTCCCCGCAGAAAACCACGGCAGAGGACGTCTTCAAACAGTTTTCATCCCTCCAAAAGAATCTTTTGGCCCTGGAAGCACAGGACACACTGCAGTCCCTGTTCCATGGTCTTCAGGTGATCGCGCGGACTCGGGAACCGATGCTCGGAATCCCTGCATGGCGCGTGCCCCGACATGATCCCACGGTATTTCTCATTCCTCGAATCTCAGCGCATAGACTCGAGGCCTTTTGCTTTGATATTCATCCACTTTGCACCAGTTTCTCTGGCCTTCCTAAAACTGCAGTGTTCACATGCACACGGCGTCGCGCTCCCAACACTTCCCCATCCTGCTGCCAACCCCCCCACCCCATGTCCATGCCCCGCAGCAACACTTTGGGGAGACGGGACCTGGCCCCAAGAACCTGCCCACGAAGCAGGCTGTCCAGGTGGCCACCAACACCATGCTCGGCATGATGGTGTCCTCCGTGAACGACTCCCTGGCGGAGGCGGCCGAGGCGGCCGCCGCCCCGCCCACGCGCCGCCTGCAGGAAAGCACGGCGCCCACCTCCGTCGAGGACATGCCGGAGTATAGCCAATTCAAGGTCATCACGGTGATCAACCTGGACGACTACGTGTGAGTCGGCCAGCTGTGCAGCTTCGTGTGCCAGGGCAGGGCGGCTGGGTTAGGGGGAATTGTGTGAACAAGAGCCCAGCCTGGAGCCGCTCACCGGTCACACCCACACACTCTTGCACCCCCTCTGTCCTCCTGTCACCCCGGCCCCTCCACCCTTTGTCCCCAACAGGTATGACGACGGCTCATCTGATGACGATGATGACGACGAACTCAATCCCTGGGCCACGACTACGCAGACCGGGGCTGTCAACGGTGCCGGGTGAGCTGGTGGGCTGAGTGCACGGGTGCAATTCTTCGCTCCGGCGCCTGCCGCTGCTGGAATGGAAACCATTGGCCAGGCTCGGCACCATGGCCGCACACTCTCTGACCCTGGACCCCCCCCCAGAGCTCCAGCCCCACTGCCATGCGCATCCCTCTGCCCACCGTCCCCCAATCCCCCCTTCCCAACCGCGCCAACAACACCCCCGTCCCAGGCAGCAGGACGAGGACCTGACGGCGGTGTTCGACCAGATCCTGGGTCAATACGGGGGCGACCTGGGCCAGCTCTTCGGCGATCAGGCCGCGGTGACCAGTGCCTTCTCCCGCCTCTCACGCGCGCACGCGCCCGCGGCGGAGGCCCACGTCGCGACAGCGGAGCTGCCCCAGTTTGCCGTGTTCGGGCCGCAGCGGGGGAGCGAGGAGGGGGAGACGGTGGTGGTGGTGGACCCCGCCGACAAGCCGCCGGCCATCGACAGCCGGCGGGCCAGCGATGCGCTCATCCTGCCCCTCCAGGACTCTGCCAGGACCCAGGTGAGTGTGCGTGCCGGCTGGCCGTGTGGCTGATCAGCCAGGGAGATGGATCTTCTGGGGGTTGGGGTGGGGGCCGGAATCCTACGATGTGCGCGGAGCCATCCAGGGGAAGGTTGCAGACCCTTCCGTCGGGGGCGTCCTGCACCGGTCGATCTCAGTCCCGCCAGGCCCATACAACACACCCCGTTCTCTCTCAACACACACCCACACACAAAAATGCCGCCACATTCTTGAGCCCCCCCCCTCCTGCCCATCACAGGTGCCGCACAACCTGCAGGGCGACTCCACCCAGCTGGACGCCCGCTGGTGGGGCATCGTGGCCGGCGTGGCGCTGTGCTGCCTGCTGGCAGCCCTGGTCTTCATCATGGGCTGGTCCAAGGCCCAGTCGCGGCGGCGTGCCGGGGGCGAGGGCGGGGACGACTACTCCCCGGTGGACTCCGCGCCGCTGCGGCCGGACGCGCGGCAGCTCAGCGGCAAGAGCGCAACCACCGACGACTGGGTGCAGGCCGTGCGGACCAAGGAGAGCAAGATCGACCTGGTGCCGGGGCAGGCAGCCCGCAAGGTCAGCAACCTGCCGGCCTGAAATGCAGGGGTTGTCGCCAAGCTGCGAGTGTCTCACTCCGCGCCGCCACGACCGTGCCCCGCCAGGAAAGGGCCGGTGCCATCCCCATTTCACTCCCCTGTCATTGTATTGCTGCTCCATGGTTTCTGCATGTAACACAAGCCTGCTCAAGGAGGGGCAGGGGCTCCATGGTGGGCGTCCCACATCTCCACAACAAACCGCCCCCGACAACGCGCCCAGGATTTGGACCGAGATCGACCTTCGAGTGATCGTTTCCACGCCCTCTCCGGTCGGTCGCGCGCTCCCCCTGCGCAATAAGTGCTGCGGACCCGGTGATCATTGCAAAGCACCCAGGGGATCCCACATCGTTGCTGGCCACCTGCCTCCCCCACCCCCCGCGAACGCACTGGGGTGCTCGACGGTGGTAGCGCAGGGTCGCACACGAGCCGCGGCCACAGCGCGGTGCCACAATGGCCAAAGTCACCAATGTTCGGGGGCTGAGGGTGAGTCTTGCCAGCCTGGGCCTGTCGCCCAGGCTGCTGCCGGCACGACTCGCCAGTGGTCGCACACGGATTTGGACGGCTCCCTCCCCCAAACCCCCCGCAGAACTACATCCAGGAGCTGCGTAACTGCAGCTCCAAGGAGCAGGAGAAGGAGCGCGTGGATAAGGAGCTGGGTAAGGTCAGGAAGAAGTACACCTCCGACAAGGCCATGTCAGGTGAGGGGGTGGCATTTGCTCCGGCAAGGCTGTGCTTGGGGGTGCGTGACTGGCTGGTGCACTAGTGCCATTGTGCACGGAGTATCCCTCTGCACTCCCTGCCTCGAGGCCGTGCCACCTGTCCTTTGTCCATTCGCAGCCTACGACAAGCGGAAGTACATGTGGAAGCTGCTCTACACTCATATGCTTGGCTACAATGTCGAGTTCGGCCACAAGCAAGCCATGGACTTGATTGCGGCGCCAGGGTAGGTTGGTGCGAGGGGGTGGGCATAGGGCCCCGTCATTCAAGGGCTCTGCGAATTGCTAGGTTGACCACTGGTCTGCTGCTGGCCTTGTCCTTGTCTCGTGACAAACTGCCTGGCCGCCGGACAGCCGCCCAACTCCATGCTTGACGCAGGTATGCCGAGAAGCAGGTCGGCTACGTCGCCTGTGCGGTCTTCCTTAGCGAGGTGAGCTGTGTTGAGATGGCTTGGAGGATCTCTCTGATTTCCCCCTGATGGGACCCCCAGCCTTCCGCCGCAATTGGTGGGGCATTGCACGCCTCCTCGCCTGCACCCCACTTGTCTCACATTGTGGTATGTATCTGCCTTGCCAACCCTCGCCCACGTACCTGGCGTGAGGCGGCCATGCCGTGTGCGGTAACCTGTCCCTACATCCTGATCCCCACTCCTGCAGCAAGACGAGTTTCTCCGCCTGGTGATCAATTCGGTCCGGAACGACCTCATCTCGCGCAACGAAGCCTTCCAGTGCCTGGCCCTCGACTTCACAGCCAATGGTGAGTGCTTGGGAGCTTGGGAGTTCCCAGGTGCTTCTGGCCCTCTGTACCTCCAGGCCGATGGAGGCACCATCATTGTGTGGAGCACTCTTTTCACCACGGCTGATGCAGATCGCCATTGACCGCCTCACCTCTTCCGCTCCTGGCCCTTGCCCACCGCAGTTGGGGGCGCCGAGTTTGCGCAGCTGCTCACCGTCGACGTCATGGGCGTGCTGGTGGGTACTGGCGGGGCGCGCTGACGGCGCGGTGCTCGAGAGATGGGTGCCTGTCTCTGGGGTGGGAGTCGCTGCGCGGAAAATGCACAATCCGTGGTGCAGGCCTCCCTTGTCCGGACCCCGTCCCACATTTTCCCTCAGGATCGCTTCCATTGCCCCCGCCGCCACTCTTCAACTACTGTCTTCCTCTTTCGTGACGATCCAGGAGGCGCAACCCATGCACCCTCACCCCCCCACCCCCCCACCCAGGCCAACGGCGCGACCCGGCCCGTGGTGCGCAAGAAGGCCGCGCTGTGCCTGCTGCGCCTCATCCGCAAGGCCCCCCTGGACGCGGAGGTGCTGTCCCCCGGCGTCTGGGGCTCGCGCCTGGCGGGCATGCTGGCCGACCCCGACGTCGGCGTGCTGCTGGGGCTGACCACGCTGCTGCTGGGCGTGGCGGCACGGTCCTACGTCGGCTACGAGGCCTGCGTCCCCCGCCTGATCGCGGTCCTGGACCGCTGCAAGGCGCGGGAGGTCCCGCAGGACTACACCTACTACGGTCTGGCCTCGCCCTGGCTGCAGGTCAAAGCCCTGCGCGTGCTCCAGTACTTTCCCCCTCCAGAGGACCCCGCCGTGCGCGGCGCACTGGTGGACACCCTGAAGCGCATCCTGGGAGGTGGGGGGGGGTGGGGGGAGGTTTTGCGGGGCAGAGGGAAGGGAGGGGGAGGGGGGGGGTGCCCGGGAGGTAAGGTGCGGGGGAGGGAGGGGAATAATTAGAAAGAGGGTGAAGTGGAGAGAGGGTGTGCGCGCATTATGACATCCCCTCGCCCAAGCCCTGGGCTTCCTTCCTCGACTCCCTCCCTTGTCCACACCCCGTTCTGTTCCCATTCACACCTCCAATAAAAAATGTGCCCTCACCCCTCCCCAACAATCACTGCCAGGCTCCGAGCCGGTGAAGAATGCCAACAACAATAACGCGGTGCACGCCATCGTGTTCGAGGCGGTGGCCCTGGCCATCGGCCTGGAGGACGCCGACCTGCTGACCGCCGGCGCTGCGCTGCTGGCGCGCTTCCTGGCGGTGCGGGAGCCCAACCTGCGCTACCTGGCGCTGGAGAGCCTGGCGCGCCTGGCCGGCGTCCCGGCCGTGGCGGAGACCTTGGCCAGGCACGCGCGCACCGTGCGCGACTGCCTGGCCGACCCGGACGTGTCCATCGCGCGGCGAGCCATGGACCTGCTCTTCACCATGGCCTCCCCCGCCACGGCCGCGGGGGTGGTGGAGACGCTGCTGGCGTTCTTACCGACGGCTGACTATTCGCTGCGCGAGGAGCTGGTGCTCAAGACCGCTGTGCTGGCGGAGAGGTGAGGAGTTGGTGCGGGAGGGAGCTGTGTGTGTGGTTTAAGGGGGGGGTGGGGGTAGCTAGCCCATTGGTGTGGAGATGAGAGGGTGTGGCGGGGAGAGGAAGACGCAAGGAGGAGGTATGGAGGGGCAGGCGAGTTACGCGCCCACGCAAGTAACCCCCCATTCTCACCCCCCTGCTCCTCCCCCCCAACCACCACCACCACCACCAGGTTCCTGCCCAACCTGGAGTGGTACGTGGACTCCATGCTGACCCTGATGGAGCAGGCGGGGGAGTTTGCCATCAACGACCTGTGGCAGTCGGTGGTGCACCTGGTGACCAACTCCCCGGAGCTGCACGCCTACGCAGCGGGGCGGGTGCTGGAGGCGCTGCGCCGCGGCCAACCCCCCGAGACCTTCCTCAAGGTGGCCGCCCACGTGCTGGGCGAGTTTGGGCCCCTGCTCCCCGACACCACCCCCGGCGCGGAGTACGCGGCGCTGGCCGCCCACTTCCCCGCCGCCGGCCCCGAGACCAAGGCCATCATGCTGACCGCCTTCAGCAAGCTGGCCCTGGCGGCGCCGGAGGACGGCGACCTGCAGGCCGCCGTGCGTGCGCTGCTGGAGCGCCACGCGCGTGGCGTGGATGCGGAGCTGCAGCAGCGAGCGGTGGAGTATACGGGCCTGCTGGCCGGCGGCCCGGCCCTAGCCAAGGCCGCGGTGCAGCCGCTGCCGCGCTGGGAGGGGCGGGGCAGCCTCCTGCTGCGGCGTCTGGAGGCGTACGAGGTGGGGGGGGTGATTGGGTTTCGGGGTAGTGTAGTGGTGTGGGGGGGCGCCTCGAGCAGGGAAGTGCTCTGGGTTGCGGCGATGCGACGGGCAGATGCCAGGGAGGCGTTTATCGGCAGATCGCGCCCTGGCTGGGCCGGACTGGTCTGGGCGGCGGTGGGGGGGGTAGCTAGCCCATTGGTGTGGAGATGAGAGGGTGTGGCGGGGAGAGGAAGACGCAAGGAGGAGGTATGGAGGGGCAGGCGAGTTACGCGCCCACGCAAGTAACCCCCCATTCTCACCCCCCTGCTCCTCCCCCCCAACCACCACCACCACCACCAGGTTCCTGCCCAACCTGGAGTGGTACGTGGACTCCATGCTGACCCTGATGGAGCAGGCGGGGGAGTTTGCCATCAACGACCTGTGGCAGTCGGTGGTGCACCTGGTGACCAACTCCCCGGAGCTGCACGCCTACGCAGCGGGGCGGGTGCTGGAGGCGCTGCGCCGCGGCCAGCCCCCCGAGACCTTCCTCAAGGTGGCCGCCCACGTGCTGGGCGAGTTTGGGCCCCTGCTCCCCGACACCACCCCCGGCGCGGAGTACGCGGCGCTGGCCGCCCACTTCCCCGCCGCCGGCCCCGAGACCAAGGCCATCATGCTGACCGCCTTCAGCAAGCTGGCCCTGGCGGCGCCGGAGGACGGCGACCTGCAGGCCGCCGTGCGTGCGCTGCTGGAGCGCCACGCGCGTGGCGTGGATGCGGAGCTGCAGCAGCGAGCGGTGGAGTAGACGGGCCTGCTGGCCGGCGGCCCGGCCCTAGCCAAGGCCGCGGTGCAGCCGCTGCCGCGCTGGGAGGGGCGGGGCAGCCTCCTGCTGCGGCGTCTGGAGGCGTACGAGGTGGGGGGGGTGATTGGGTTTCGGGGTAGTGTAGTGGTGGGGGGGGGCGCCTCGAGCAGGGAAGTGCTCTGGGTTGCGGCGATGCGACGGGCAGATGCCAGGGAGGCGTTTATCGGCAGATCGCGCCCTGGCTGGGCCGGACTGGTCTGGGCGGCGGGCTGCGGGTGCTGTGAGGGGGATTCCCTCGATCCCATGCACCCAGGCTGCCCCAGTGCCCACCACTCCTCACCCCCCACCACCACCGACCCTAACTCCCTCAGGGCGAGGAGGGGAATGATGAGGGCCTGGAGAGGCCCGGCTGGCTGCAGGGGGAGGCCGCTGCCGGCGCGCCTGCCGCCGCTGGCGACGGCCCGGCCTCCGCGCCGGGCACGCCGGGCGTGGGTGCCGTGCGCCCCCCGGGGGATGGCGCGGGGCCCGCGCCACTGGCCGTGCCCGACCTCCTCGACCTGCTGGGTGAGAGATTCGGTGCTTGTCGGGGAGGTGTTGGTCCCTGCAAGCGCCCTGGTCCTCGGCCGTCCAGCGACCAGCGACGTGTTGATGTGCGGTGGGTCATGGGTGTGTCTGATGGACCCGGACCCCCCCCCCCCCCCTGGCACTTATTTGCCCGCCCAGCAGTATCTTAGCCCCCCCTCCTTCTCAACCATGTCCCCCTCTTCCACCCACACGCAGACCTTGGGGAGCCCAGCTCCACGACCCCGGCGCCGGGCGGCCTGGAGGGTCTGGGCCTCCCCCCCACGCCACAGCAGGCGACCCCCGCCCCGTCCCCGCCCCACCCGGCGCCGGCGGCCGTGGCGCCCAGCGGCAGCCTGGAGGCCTGGTCCCGGCGCCTGTGGACGCAGGCCTCGGGCATCCTGTATGAGGACGCCAACCTGCAGGCCGGGGTCAAGTCAGCCTTCTCGGGCGCGGCGGGCACCGTGACGGTCTTCCTGGGGAACAAGACCGGCGGCGCGCTGGCCGGCGTGGCGCTGGAGATCGTGGGTGCGCCGCCGCACCTGACGGCGACCCTGCCGGCGCCGCCCCCGGCGATGCTAGAGCCGCGGCGGCAGGTCCAGGTCCCCCTGGAGGTGGGCGCCGGCGCTCCGGGATCCGCGCCCCTGCGCTTGCGCCTGGCCTATCACACGGCCGACGGCGCGGCGGCGGACGTGCAGCTGGACCTGCCGCTGCCGCCCGCCAAGTTCAGCCAGCCAGTGGACGTGCCCACCGAGGTGTTTGCCGCGCGCTGGGAGCAGGTAGGTGTGGGGGAGGGCGGCTCTGGCGGAGGATGCCTGAGACTTTGTGGATGGGTGTGAATGTTGCCTGGTGGGTGGAGCGAGGAGGGGAAGGAGGGGTCGTCATTGAAACTGCCACCCGACCCAGATTCCCGTGCACCCTGCCCATCGCTGACCCCCACAAACACACACACACACACACACCTCCCAACAACGCAGGTGGCCGGCCCGCCCTTCAAACTGAGCGCCGACGTGGCGCCGGCGAGCGGCGCGCTTTCCGATGCCGCGGTGCAGCAGCTGCTCGCCTCGCTGCACCTCCGCGTGCTGGCCGGCGTGGCGGGGGTGCCGCCGGGGGCCACCGCCGCGGCCTGCGTGCTGCACGTGGGCGGCGGCGCCGCCCCCGCGCGCCAGATCCCCTGCATGGTGGTCGTGGCGGCGGGGGCGGGGCGGGTGACGGTGGCCACCGCCGACGGCGCGGCCTCGGCGGCGCTGCTCAGCCAGCTGACCTCCGTCCTGGGCTGGGGGGCCTGAAGGGGCCTGGGGGAAGTGCTGGTCAGGCACCTGCAGGGACCTGTCAACACCCAGTCCATGATCCCGTCAGCTCCGGGTCCAGACCGATCGGGCGCGTGTGCAGTTTGACCCCACATGTCGTCATCTGTCGAGCCCTTCCCCCTCCCATCTTGTGACACCAAGTCTCAGAGGTTTACGATTCCAAAGTGCTGCTAGTGTCAAATTCCGGATCGATCAGGATCAGAGGGGATTCGTGCCATAGTTCGTCCTTCGAGAACACGTCATGGGCTACGCAGGTGGGGTTTTCACTCGTGCGGAGGGCAGATACACTTCCTATTACTTCATCTCCATGTCCACCCAAGACTTTCCAGTCCCAGCCGGTCCCTTGTCGCCTCGACGCAGGGTACGTGCCGGCAAAGCTGCCCCCCTCCAGCCTCACTCCCGTCCAAACCGCACTCTTCCTCGTCTCCTCCGTCTCCTCGCTGGAGCTGATAGAGAAGCTAGTGTACAACGCTGTGGTATCGCCCCAGGAACCAAAATTCAAGAAGGTGCCACCCCTGGTCACTCTCCCGGACGCAATGTCAACTGCTGCACACCCTGGGGCTCTTTTCTCCATGCTCCCTTTGCCTCTCAGAGGTCAACACCCCTCACCTTTCCAGGTGCGACTGGGCAATCCCCGCATCAAGGCCGCCATCATCGACACGCCCGCTGCGCTAGAGGCCATGCTGGCCATGGGTTGGCAGCAGGCCCAGGAGGGAGAGGAATCGGTGCTCCTGCTCTCAAAATCTTTGTCCATGGCAGTGGTGCGAGGGGAAGCCTTGGGGATCGAGGGGTGCCTGTATGGATCATGTGTATAGTATGCAACCTGCCCGTTGCACACTTTGTTACCTGGCTTTGTCAAGGGACGACTCAGGTTCTGATCTCTCGGTCATGTGTCTCTAGACACCCAGTTCCTCTGACCTCTCCTCGTATCAAATATGCATGTATGTATCTCTCAATCATGTTGCCATACTACTGGCAAAAAGGCTTCCAGGCCAGGCCAGGCAGCACCTGCATGGCCGCCTCACCCGCTCCCACTCCCCTCTGGACCCCGGCACGCAGGTGCATGATGTTCAGGAGGCCGCCTCGCGCGCAAAGAAGGCGGCGCAGGAGGCCCAGCGCACCGCGCAGCGAGCGGCTGCCGCCAAGCCAGCTGCGCTGCCGGGGTCTGACAGCCGGGAGAGCCTGCGGGCCATGCTGGAGGCCGACCGCCGGGAAAGGGCGGCGCGAGGTCCGGTCAGCGTCGGCAGCGTCGCCCAGCCGCTGCCCAGCGCCGGAGGCGGCGGCCCTGCCCGCATCCGGACGGCAGGGGAGGCCGGACTCAACTCGGGCTGATGGAAGGGGCAGTGTCCAGCAGGCGCATCACTGGTGCCTCGGTATTAGTCCCTCGGGACCTTGCTAGGGGGTCCAGCGCCGCTCGTACATCAACAGGCTGCAGTTTATGGTTTGTGAATGTGCCCGCCAGCATACCAAACGCATACCTGCCATCCCCTTTCCTGGTGCATTCGGTGCCCGCACCCTGTGTGCGGCGGGCAGTCCATGGCGTCGACCATGCTCCCACACCTGTGCCTGGCCAGCAAACTTGTCTGGGCAGTGTTGGGCGCGGGGTGGAAGCAGCCGCTCAAGCCGGGCTGGCCCCCTTCACCCCCGCATCAACCGCCCCTAATCACCCAGGAAATGCACCACACCTATCCCTGCATTGCACGCTTCTGTGAAACCACCCAACTGAGAGCAAGAGGGCTGTACAGGACATTCAACTGTGGAGACTAAGGCATGCGTACACTGCGCAAGGGGTGCAGGGCCTGGGCGACGCTGCGAGGAGGCAAGCGGGGGCGATGGTACAGAAGCGGAATAGAGGGGCAGGTGCACAAGGGGAGGTGGTCGAGATGTACGGAACAGGATACCAAAGCAGCGTGGAGGTCACGCAACCCCTGCTGTGGGGACTGGGCATGCAGCGCGCTGGCACTTCTCCCCTCAGACAAGCTCGGGCCCCGGCGAGGCGGGCACGATTTCCGCGGCGGGCGAGCCCGGAGACCCCGCCGCCCGGAGGCCCCCGCCCTCCAGCAGCCCCCGCCGCTCGTCCTCCCGCGGCGGGCTGCTCAGCGCCTGCGTCAGCGCCTCGGGCCCGTGCCACAGCCGGGCCAGGCGCCTGCGCGCGCGGCGCAGCAGCCCCCGCGCGCCGGCCGGGGCGCCCTGCCCTTCGTCCCCGGCACCGGCCCCAGCCCGCTCCGCCGCCCCCGCCGCCGCGTCGCCCTTGCAGACTGGACAGAGGGTGGTGCGGGAGGAGAGCCACTGGTCGATGCAGGCGGCGTGGAAGTGGTGCTGGCAGGGCAGCGCGCGCAGCTTGTCCCCGTCCACGTAGTTGTCGAGGCAGATGGCGCAGGTGCGGCGCGTGCTGCCGCCGGCGCGCGGCGCGCACGCCTCGCCGTCCGAGTCCGAGGTGGAGGAGGCGGCGGGCTGGCGGGGGAGGGAGGCGGGTGGCGCGCCGGCGTCAGGAATAGACGCGGGCAGGGCGGTGCTGCCGCCGATGCCGCCAGGCCCCGACGCATGCCCCCCTGCGCCCATGGGCTCCGCGTCTGCGCCGACGCCCGCGCGCACATCCCCCCGCCCTGCCGCCCGCCGCCGCCGCTCGTACACGACGATGGGGAGGGCCCGGATGTCCTCGGCGGACATGCCGCCGGGGCCCCGCCCCGGCGCCGGGGCGACGCCGCCCTCGATACGCTGCCGCCTGACCAGCCACACCGCAAGCATGACGCTGAGGACCATGCAAATGCCCAGCGTGCCGATCATGTCGATGAAGAAAGCGTCCACGGACTACAAGAGCATGGAGGAAGGGGTGGGTAAGTGTGTGTTGGATGGAGGGAATAATAATTGCAAGGGCCATCTTGCTGTGCAAGATGGTGCAGCAAGCCCTCCCCGGCCTCAGGTTCACCAGTGAACGAGTCTCATCGTCCCACCCCCCCCCCCGGCCTACCCTCTCCACCGGCTCACATTGGTGATGAACACGCGGCTGATGCCGGGCTGCAGCAGCTGCTTGAGCATGATGCCGGACTTGAGGGAAATGAAGACGGCGGGGATGCCGGGGTCGAGCGCGCCCAGCGGCTTGCTCATGATGATCAGCGGGCCGTCGCTCTGGTCATGCACGATGGCGGCGGAGGCACCGGCAGCCTCGGCGTGGGCCACCTGAAGAGAGGAGGGGAGGAAGGTGGGAACGTTCTTTCAAGAAACATATCAGGCATGAGGCAAGGCAAGACCCTCTGACGCTGCCGGGAGCATTTCCCCCAAATCAGTTTGGCCGGCAGCATCCAGGTACTTGGAGCACCCACCCACCCGAGCTTCTCTGTGCTCTGCACGCTGCCCTGCGCCCACCACCCACCCCCTCCCGGGCACCTTGCGATCAAAGGTGCACGTCTCCACCATCCCCTGGGTGCGTTTGATGAGGGCCACCCAGCGCTTGCCCTTGGCGCCTGGCGGGGTGGTCAGGGTGGAACATGCGTCCTGTGGATTTGCCAGGTAAAGAAGACCCTCCAGCCCGCTGTCTGGGATGGCAGGTCCAAAGTCAGCAGGTAACTGTGGAAGGGGCAATTTTATCGATGTGAATAGGAAGGGAGGTGGCTCGACCGCTGTCTGACGTCTGGGATGCAGGGTTCAGGGCAAGCGGCATCCAACAGGACCACGGGCACCAGGGGTGCAAGCAAAAAGCAACCTCCGTCCCGCAAGCTGGTATACGACGCTCACAGATGGGATCGGGTCGAATGTTATGTTGCTGGACTGCGGCAAGGAAGGGGCGAGACGTGGTCAGGGCACCTTGCGACATGGGCTGACGCGAGTTCAGCGGTACGACACGGAATCACTCATGCTTCGGAACTGGCAGCAGGCCGGCGAGGTGTCTCCTCGCAGACGACCACACCATTTCCCTTACCTCTAGAGTCACCGAGGCGCCAGCAGTCTTCGACCAGGCCAGCACCAGGAGGCAAGCGGCCCCGAATGGGATGCCCAGCATGCCTCCTTCCTAGACCTTGCTCCCGGGAACCAAGCGCTCCTGGGCCCGTCCAGAGTCAGTCGATGGGCGCCAGGCCTATAGAATGCACTGCATGGCTCGCTCTGACACACCCTACACCCCGGTCGTCCTCGTATCTGGCCTGGCTGATGTGGTCCTGGCGACACATCATGCGTCGCGCCCGCGCGCCCTCCTGCGTGGGATAGCTTCCTCCCAGACAGTGGGTGGCCGAATGGCCTAACCTGTTTCGAGCCCCGTTGACATACAGCCTCTACAAGCCATGATACTTATGTCTGCATCAAGGACATCAGGCTCCCGCCGGGATCACCCATCCAGCCGCTCCAAGAAGTCGACATGCCCTCCTCTGCCCGGCTCCCATGCACTCTGATTGGCCGCGAGGATCTCCAGGCCACGGGCCGAGATCCGCGCCTGCCCGGCTCCAGCGCCTGCGCCCAGCTCCACGGCATACAGTCCGGGGCCCGGGGGCTGGTTCAGGAATGCGGCGCTGGGACACTCGATGTTCGCCCCCTCTGCCAGCACCAAGCGGTGGGGCCGGCCCAGGCACGAGCGCACAGCACGCAAGTCGCCCTGCGCCAGCATGTCCCTGACCCTGCTGGATGACACGGCCTCCTCCCCCTCCGCACCAGTCACCAGCTCCTGGATGCACACCTGGCGGTTGGGGTTGCGGTGGGCACCCTGTGACGCTGAGTTTGCTCGGCTAGCTCACTGTCACTGGTGCTGGGGTGCAACCCACCCACCCTAGCCCCCTCTAGCTCTTTTCCCCTCGCTGTTCCCAGAAATCCCAACACAATCACCTCCATTCCCAGCTGGGCGCCGCGCCGAGCGAGGAACTCCGTGTCTCCGGCCGCCTTGTATCCAAAGCGGAAGCCTTCGCCCACCACGACGCCCGCCACACCCAGGTCTTTGGAGAGGAGGCGCAGGAAAGCCTCTGGATCCATGCCTCGCACCTGTGACAGCAACGATGTGGCCCACTTGCGGGAAGGGGTTCCCTTGGGTCTTCGAGGTGCACAGCCGTCTCAAACAGGGCCCTGTTCCGTTCACATCCCCAGCCGCTCCGATGGCACCCAAGCCCGATGCCAAGGTTTCTGGTCACATGTGTGGCCCCTTCCTCCCGTCCTAAGATCCCTGCGCCGCCTGCATCCCCCTGCAGCTCCAGGTCTGCATCGCATCGCGTACCTCGGCAAAGGGTATGCGCAGCTCGCGCGGCGTCACCCCGAACTCCTTGCCCCAGGCGGACAGGATGCGGGCCCGGTCGCCAGGCGCCACCAGCGGCAGCCGCTCCCTCCAGCCCAGCACGGCCGCCATGCCAGAGAAGGAGATGAGCCAGGGGACGCCCGGCCTGGCAGCCGCCCAGGCCGCCAGGGCCGCATGGCCCCGATGCAGCGCGTCAAACTTGCCCAGGGCCACCCAGGCACCGGCGGCGGGGTCTGGCGAGAGCCGGGCGCGCCAGTCTGCTGGAAAGGGGGCTTGTGCATGGGCTTGGCTGCTGCTGGGGTCCAGGGTTGCGGGGTGGGCAAGCTGCCAGTCGGACATGGCGCATGCCGGAGGCCGAACAACGCCATGCAAGGTGCACACCGGCACCATGTCCATGAGGCCCCACACAGGAAACTCACCTGCTCCCGTTTGGCTGCCCCTGATCAAGGTGGGAGCTCGCCCACGCGATCTGGTGCACATCACCGATACGAGGCGCAAGGTGCGGGCGCACGGACTGGTGTGCAGCCCCGGTCGCAGCATGTCACCGACGGCCGTTCCGGTGCGGTGCGGGGCCTCCGACGGTGCTCTCCCGTGTCGGGCTACTGTCCCCACCCAGCCGGCGAGCACTCATGGGTGCATGTCTGGAGCCAAGGTTTGATGTCGCGTCGTGGCGTTCGACCAGCTGACTCGCGCGATGGGGCAGAAAAAGCGATCCACACTTCTATGGTGACCATTTTTGTAGGTTCAAACCGCACCTTGCCTCACACGCGTTTCAACACGGGGTAACTGCCTGGGGGTACTGTGATTCTACCGGGCGCTTCAGGGACAGGAGGGGGGGGCACGCCAGCGCCAGGCCTGTCTTGCCTACCCGACCACGACCTTGTCATCGTCCATGAAGGAGTAGGTGGGGACCTCCAGGTTGTACGGGGCGGGCCCCTTCCGGATGCGGCCCGAGGTGTCGTAGTGGGAGCCGTGGCAGGGGCAGAACCAGCCCTGGTAGTCGCCGGCGTTGGGCAGCGGGACGCAGCCCAGGTGGGTGCACACGCCGATGACGATGAGCCACTCCGGGTTCTTCACGCGCACCGAGTCGGGCTCGGGGTCCCGCAGGTTGGACAGCTCCACCGCATTGGCCTTGGCGATGTCGTCCTCGGTCCGGCGCCGGATGAAGACGGGCTTGCCGCGCCACTTCACCGTGATGGTCTGGCCCGGCTGGATCTTGGACAGGTCCACCTCCAGGTTGGCCATCGCCAGCACATCCTTGGTGGCCTGCGTTTGATTTGTTTGATTTGTGTATGGATGAGGGACGAGGAATTGGGAGTATGGATGAGGGACGAGTAATTGGGAGCGGAGAGGGACATCGGTGTGTGTGTGAGTTTACTAGAGGGATGTGGGGACCAGTGGGGGCCTCCACGCAGCCTGGAACCTACGATGGAGGCCAGGGTGCGATGCGGCAAACCCACGGGGGGAATAACCACAGGCAGTACGGGCACCCTGTGCACCGCACACCCCTCGGGACACCGGCACCATGTCCATGAGGCCCCACACAGGAAACTCACCTGCTCCCGTTTGGCTGCCCCTGATCAAGGTGGGAGCTCGCCCACGCGATCTGGTGCACATCACCGATACGAGGCGCAAGGTGCGGGCGCACGGACTGGTGTGCAGCCCCGGTCGCAGCATGTCACCGACGGCCGTTCCGGTGCGGTGCGGGGCCTCCGACGGTGCTCTCCCGTGTCGGGCTACTGTCCCCACCCAGCCGGCGAGCACTCATGGGTGCATGTCTGGAGCCAAGGTTTGATGTCGCGTCGTGGCGTTCGACCAGCTGACTCGCGCGATGGGGCAGAAAAAGCGATCCACACTTCTATGGTGACCATTTTTGTAGGTTCAAACCGCACCTTGCCTCACACGCGTTTCAACACGGGGTAACTGCCTGGGGGTACTGTGATTCTACCGGGCGCTTCAGGGACAGGAGGGGGGGGCACGCCAGCGCCAGGCCTGTCTTGCCTACCCGACCACGACCTTGTCATCGTCCATGAAGGAGTAGGTGGGGACCTCCAGGTTGTACGGGGCGGGCCCCTTCCGGATGCGGCCCGAGGTGTCGTAGTGGGAGCCGTGGCAGGGGCAGAACCAGCCCTGGTAGTCGCCGGCGTTGGGCAGCGGGACGCAGCCCAGGTGGGTGCACACGCCGATGACGATGAGCCACTCCGGGTTCTTCACGCGCACCGAGTCGGGCTCGGGGTCCCGCAGGTTGGACAGCTCCACCGCATTGGCCTTGGCGATGTCGTCCTCGGTCCGGCGCCGGATGAAGACGGGCTTGCCGCGCCACTTCACCGTGATGGTCTGGCCCGGCTGGATCTTGGACAGGTCCACCTCCAGGTTGGCCATCGCCAGCACATCCTTGGTGGCCTGCGTTTGATTTGTTTGATTTGTGTATGGATGAGGGACGAGGAATCGGGAGTATGGATGAGGGACGAGGAATTGGGAGTATGGATGAGGGACGAGGAATTGGGAGCGGAGAGGGACATCGGTGTGTGTGAGTTTACTAGAGGGATGTGGGGACCAGTGGGGGCCTCCACGCAGCCTGGAACCTACGATGGAGGCCAGGGTGCGATGCGGCAAACCCACGGGGGGAATAACCACAGGCAGTACGGGCACCCTGTGCACCGTACACCCTTCGGGACGCATGCTCGCCGCTGCATGGCAGCAGTCTCACGAGGAAGCATCCGCCGTGATACCGAGGCATGCTCCCTTAACAGCCCACACCCCTACCCTCCACGCCCCTGCAGCAACAGCCACCCACCGTCATGCTGAGGATGAACTTGAGGACCGCCAGGCGGACGGCGGAGGCGCCGATAAAGCGTCCTCCGGTCAGCACAAAGTATGTGAAGGCACGCTTGCTGGGGTCGCCCGGGGGGAAGCGGATGTGGTTGGACTCATCGTACCTGCAAGTGCAGAGGGTTGAGCATGGGCGGCGAGCAGAGGGCGTGTGAAGTCGAGCCAGGACCAGGACCCCCGATTCCAACTGAACCGGTTAGGGCGCCAAAGGCTGGGGTCCATGGGGCTCATCTGATGGCACTTAAGGTGTGGCTTAAATCCAGTCACACGATAAAATATCCACTCACGTGATGGCGTGGGTTGGGTTCTTCAGGGCGTGCACGGTCGGTGGCAGCCCGGATGTGTTGGCTGGGGACAGGGCAGCGTCCGCGGAGTAGCCTGGGCGTGTTGCGGGGTGGTGGTGGTGGTGAGCGCTTCGGATAGTCCACACAACCAACTCAGGGGCTACGGGAAACACCCTTGCCCCAGCCGATGCCTGGGTTTCCGGACTGGAACATGTGGGGTCACCACGGTCATCCCTGACGAACCTCCATACCTCTGCACCAAGCGTTGACGGCCGGTTGCGCGGCTGCCAGGGATGGCACAGCACTGCCGTTCAAAGTAGCTGTGGCATTACAAAAGGGGGCACCCGCTGCCGAGGCCCCGCTCTGCAAAAAACGGGGCAGGAGCGCCTGGGCCGACCGGCGCAGCATGTTGGGTCCTCGCAGATCACCAACACCTTATATATTCTAAGCTTCCTCCAACACCTCTCCACTTCGAAACGAGCCCCGGGTTCCCAGACGTGGATTTAGCGCTGGCGTTGTCTGCCATGCGCGACAATAGTCCACCCGGGTCGAGGAAAGCGGGGAGAGGGGTCGAGATTAGTAAGGGTATCTCCATACACATTGACAACTGCCCTTAGCATCCTGGCCTCTGGTGGCTATCCTTGCTGGTTGGTAACATTCTGTGCGTGCACGGTCGATTCAGCATGGCATTAATACAAGACATGGTGCCTGCAAAACTCTTCTGTGCTGGGTAGGGAAGCAAGGGGCAATCCAATCTGAGCATGGGATGGACCGCCAGGTTTGGAGTCGGCTATAGGCACCTGCTCAGCCCACCAGGTGCCATATCCTGTATAAGTTTTCAATCCAAACTAATTGTCAGGGAAGCGTGCAATGGATGTGGTTGTCCAGGAATATATATTTGGGAAGCTAGTACCAAGACTGTGTATCGTCATGTCTCACAGGCGTCAAGGAATCTGTCGTGCATCATTCTCCTGCCCATCCTGATTGGATTCTGGGACAGAGGGTGGCGGGGCTATCGTGCCCCCTCTCTTTGCTAGCTTCCGCACTTTGACGGGCCCCTGCATGTCGAAGCTGTTCAGCAGCATGGAAGACTGGCCGGCCCGCGAGATCAGCACCTGTCGTGAATGGGGCGGCAGGAGAGGGTATGTGAATGCCAATGACCGGAAGAGGGAACCACGTAACCAACCGTGACATACGCAGCATGGTATTCTCGGCAGTACTCCCCTCCAGACCATCCTTTCTGATTGTGCATGCCAGCACCAAACCAGTCCACAGACCTTGAGCGGAGCCGAGGAGGCGGGGGGAACACCTTGCGGCCAGGGCTCGCCGTCCAGCTGCATGTGCGTCTTCCCTGCCTCGTCCTTCACCCTGCACACACAGGCATGCGCCACGGGATCGAATACACAGTTTGGTGGGGGGGAGAAGCTCGGTCGGCGGGGTGGCAGGCCACATGCCCAGCACGCAGGAGTTCTCAAGGAGTCAGCGCCCAAGTCGCCGACCTCTCCCTTCCCCCCCCCGCCAGCCCACCTGCCGTGGGCCTGGAACTCTAGCTCCAGCTCCTCCACCTGGCCCAGGCGCTTGCCGTGCAGCTTGTTGCTGACCTGGCCCATCACCATGGCCGTGTGCCAACCGTTCTTGAACCCCACCACCTGTGTGTTGGATGGCGAGAGGGGTGGTCGGAGGGCACGCGGGGGTGCGGGGAGGGGACATGGGTCGGCGCGGGGGGGGCGGCCCTCGTCGTCAGGCCGGCCTGCGACCCAGGCCCCTGCTTACGCCGCCCCCTCCTCGGCCGCTGGCACCCCCCCCTGACCTCCCCCCGCACCTCCACGAGCCCGTCGCTGAAGATGGGCACCACCCGCTTCCCCTGCCTCAGCCCGCCGCCGTCCGACAGGCCCCAGATGTCCCGCCCGCCGCCGTAGGACTGAAGGTTGAGCACCACGATGGCCCGCACCGAGGCGGGCAGCGGGATGTCGCGCCAGGCCGGGCCCCCGGGCCCGCCCCGCCCGCGCAGGCGCACGCTGTTGCGCAGCGGCGGCGCGGCGCAGAACCAGCCGCTGGTGCAGCTGTACCAGCCGTACCAGGCCTGGTTCATGACCCGGGTCTGCGCGGCCCAGGGCCGGGACTCGCGCAGAGCGTGGAATCCGTAGGCTGCCTCCGCGTCCAGGCCCACGCTGAAGTAGTTCCAGAACATGCCCGTGACACGGGTGGCCCCGGGGGGGCCCTGCACGTCGGGGCCCTCGGTTGCCCCGCCGCCCACGGCACCGGCGGACGCTGGGGCCCCACCACCACCGCCCCCCTCACTGCCCGCCCCTGCGAGGCTGAGCGAGTGGGGCAGGTGTTCGAAGAGGTCGGGCGTGGGGCCGGCCAGCGTGATGCGCCAGGCGTCCAGCGCACGGGGCTGGGCCTCCGCGTAGCGCTGCAGCGTGTGGTACAGCTGGTCCGCGGCGATCCACTTTTTGAGGAAAGCATTGCCCCAGCCGAAGCTGAGGGCCAGGTCGTTGCCCGTGCCCAGCGGCAGCACCGCCACGGCCGGCGCGGGCTCCAGGCCCAGGTCGAAGATGGTCTTCAGGATCCAGGTGACCGTGCCATCGCCCCCCGCACACAAGACGCGCAGATTCCTGTGGGAGGAAAGGGGGGAAGACGGCTGTTTCGTGGGCAGGAGCGAGGGCCACGCGGTCGCCGCAATGCTGCCGAGTGCGGGCGCCGGGCGGCAAGGGGACGGCGACGAGCAGCCCTGAGGCCTGGCGGGCTTCCCCCCGCACTCGCCAGCAGGCCCCAGAGGGCATTCGTGAGCATGCATGTGCGGGGCGCAGAAACCCTCGCCAAGGCCACACCAGGGCACCACCTGCGGATGTGCGCGGCCAGCTTGTCGCCCTTGGCCTCCCTCTCCATCAGGTTGGACCACAGAGTGCGCAGCACGGGCTCGGGCCTGTCCTCCGACAGATCAAACTGCGGCGGGGGGGAAAGAGAGCGGGGGTCCATGGGGTTGCCACATGCACAGCCCACGTACACCGTGGCCAGAGCTGCACATCGAGTCCGGAAGACAGCATCCGGGTGCCAGTCCTCTTTCACTGAAGCACCACCACCATCCCAATCCCCTTCCCCTCACCACTTGGGACTGGCCGAGGCTGCGGGAGAGCACGGTGAGCAGCTGGGTGCCCATCTGCCCCCCTGACCGGCCGTTGATGAAGGCGATGAGGGGGGTGTCCGCCAGGTCGTTGCCGACGTACTTCTTGCACCCCAGCAGGTACTCCCCGGGGATCCTGCGGGGAGAGGGGGGAGGCCTCGCACGTCGGCCAAGGGGGCAGTGCCCATGCATGGGACTTGTCGACAGGAAATTTGCGGCCACGATCCTTTCCCCCAGCCCCCCGCAACCTCCGAGCTCGTGTCGCACCGGTACGGCTCGCGCATGTCTGACATCTCGCGCAGCTCCTGGTACTCCTGATTCGTGATGGGCTGTGTCACCTCGTCAGGGGCCTGGCGGTGCAGGACGGAGGGCCTGGAGCCCTCCGTCTCAGGTTTGGACACCATTATGTGTAAGGTTTAAGGAGAAGTATTGATCTTGGATCTCGTTCGCGCATCTACTGTGCTGGAGGATCTCTGTTTACTGGAGGTCAATCTGCAGATGCGATGTGTGAGCGCGCCCGGGGCTTCTCATAGCAATTCGCATTGGCAGGTGGGGAGGCACAGGCTCCTCCCTGGGAAGTAAACGAGGATCCTCCCGACGGCGTCGCCGAGTGACTCCCGTGGTCGAAGGTCCATCCATATGTCCATGCTAGTGTTACTCAAGAACTGCAACCTGCACACCAATAGAGCGTTTGCGATACCAAAAACACACGGCAGAGAACCATGATCAAAGGGCTCGATGCGCGCAGAATCGAGTATTCAACGCTGTTTAAGTTATGTCTTTATTGAAGAATCTCGACGGTGGACGTGCAGCTCTGTAAAGGCTATCGGAACTATATGGCGCACAACCAGGGTCACCGGAGGTCGGTGGGTGATCGTCGACGACCTTGCCCTCATCCTTCGGACTGTCGCCGGCCTGGAACACCGACAGGACTGGAGTCGTACATGAGTTCCCATCCTCGATGAGAGTCGGCCTCGATCGCGCCCAAGAAGACGTGATACAGCATTGGGGAGTCAACCTGCCCCATTCATGTGACAGACCTGTCCTGTCCTGTCCCGTCGCCTCACCTCCTCCCACCGAGCTACCAATCTAAACTCGATCTGCGGGTGCGCACATCCCTCATTTCGCGCACATCCTGACCCACGCGCAGCTGGATGCATGTGGGCGGGCGGATGTGCCTGCAAAGCAGTAGTATGGGATGCCACACCAGAGTCACGCCCTGTGTGCCAGCAAAGCCGTGGGTGGTGGCCCGGGAGAATCTCGGCCAAAAGGTTGCGGGGTCACAGGGTTCAGGCATATTGTCCCCATTTTGCTGCACTTCCCGGCCCTCGAGACCGCCAAGTGAGGCGTGTCGCTCCACAACAACCAACCTTGCGCTTCCGCGCAATATCCTTTGTGGGTGCCCCAGGATGTCTGGTGCCCCCTCCAACTTCAACGCCCGTCGCTTCCTCGACGAAAATGGCATCTCCGGCGGGGACGCCACTGCGCATGACACCAGCCTCTCCTATGAGACCGAGCCACGGCCCAGGAAGCTGGTCAGCTCCGAGGCCGAGCTCTCGCTGCTGAAGCAGCTGGACGGCGGGGACCCCAGCATTGCCCACGTCGTGTCCTACCAGTTCAACAAGCACAGGCACAAGTGAGTTGACCGGCGGTGTGCCTGCAGCGATCGGGCCTGGGTCGAGGGGTGTCGCCGGGTCGGATTGTTTTGCCGGCGCCCATGGCGGATAGGATGTGCCAGCAAAATTATGTGGATCGTTAGGTCCCGCCGCCATTCCCCGGCTCACTCCCCCCCAGCTCGCTGACCACCTTCCACCTCCTTTACGACTGCAGGCTCACCGATGAATTCAAGTCCTGGGGCTGGTTCGGCTGGGCCTGCTGGTTCCTGCCCTGCCTGGGCTGGCTGAGGACCTACCGCATCAAGGAGTGGCTGCTGGTATGTTGGATTCGGTGGATCGGCTGTGCGTGCCCACACTGATGTGTGCCATGGTCCATACAAGCTCGTGCTCTAGTGGCTGATGAGGCTCATCCTACTTCAGCGGTCGCAACCTTCCACCTCCTGTTGCCGCCCCCTGGACCCCCTCCCTGCCCCTGCCTGCTCCCTGCAGCTTGACGTTGTGGCTGGCCTGTCCGTGGGTGCCATGGTCATCCCCCAGGGCATGTCCTACGCCAACCTGGCCGGCCTGCCCTCAGTCTACGGCCTGTAAGGCGCCTTTGTGCCCTGCCTGGTGTACTCCCTCCTCGGATCCTCCCGCCAGCTGGTGAGGGGCTTGGGTTCTGCGATGAGTGGGCCTGCCCTGTGCATTGAGGGGGGAGTGTGGTGCAGGGCTGTGCCGTGGGCGGCAAGCTACCTGCTTGTGCACCCACCCACCCACCCACCCTCCCTCCCCACGGTCGTGGTCATCTCAAGGGCAACCACGCGCTCGCAAACCAACCCCCCCCCCCCCACCTCTACCCCTTGATGACTTTTCTCCTTCATGCATGCCCTTCCTCCCTCCTTTCCTCCCCCAGGCTGTCGGGCCCGTGGCCGTGACGTCCACCCTGCTGGGCAACGGGCTGGAGAAGATATTTGGCAGCCTGTCCACCGACCCTAACAACCCCGAGGACCCGGCGCTGCAGGCCAACATCAACTCCGCGGCCATCGAGGTGGCCTTCCTGGCGGGGGTAATGTACACCGGCATCGCACTGCTGAACCTGGGCTGGATCATCCGCTTCCTGTCCCACTCCGTCATCTCGGGCTTCATGTCTGGCGCCGCCATCACCATCGCCCTGGGCCAGGTCAAGTACATCCTGGGCCTGAAGCTTGGGCGCGGGTCCACAATCCAGTCCCTGCTGGACATGATCTTCTCCAACCTGTCGGGCTTCAAGTGGCGCGAGTTCGTCATGGGCTACTTCTTCATCGGCCTGCTCTACACATTCCGCTGGGCGGGCAACCGCTTTGCGCACAAGCGCCTCGGCTTCCTCCGCTTCCTGGGCCCCATCACCGTGGTCGTCACCTCCATCGCGGTCATGAACATCTTTGGGCTGTACAAGAACCCCACCACCGCCTCTCCCTACATCAAGCCCATCGGCAAGATCCCCAAGGGCCTGCCGCCCTTCAGCGCCAACCACTGGCTGCCGCTGTACGACGTCAGCCGCCAGGTCACCCTGGCCATCATCATCTGCCTGGTGGACGTCTGCGAGTCCATCTCCATCGCAAAGGCCCTGGCCCAGCGCAACAAGTACCGCTTGAACTACACGCAGGAGCTGCGCGCGGTGGGCGTGGCCAACCTGTTTGGAGCCATGTTCTCCTGCTACACCACCACGGGCTCCTTCTCCCGCTCCGCGGTGAACAACTCTGCGGGCGCCAAGACCCCCTTTGCCCAGTTCGTTTGCTCCATGCTCCTCATGCTCACGCTCCTAGTGCTCACCCCCATCTTCACCAACATGTCGGCCAACGTCCAGGTGGGTGGTTGTTTGTTATGTGGGAGAAGATATTTGGCAGCCTGTCCACCGACCCTAACAACCCCGAGGACCCGGCGCTGCAGGCCAACATCAACTCCGCGGCCATCGAGGTGGCCTTCCTGGCGGGGGTAATGTACACCGGCATCGCACTGCTGAACCTGGGCTGGATCATCCGCTTCCTGTCCCACTCCGTCATCTCGGGCTTCATGTCTGGCGCCGCCATCACCATCGCCCTGGGCCAGGTCAAGTACATCCTGGGCCTGAAGCTTGGGCGCGGGTCCACAATCCAGTCCCTGCTGGACATGATCTTCTCCAACCTGTCGGGCTTCAAGTGGCGCGAGTTCGTCATGGGCTACTTCTTCATCGGCCTGCTCTACACATTCCGCTGGGCGGGCAACCGCTTTGCGCACAAGCGCCTCGGCTTCCTCCGCTTCCTGGGCCCCATCACCGTGGTCGTCACCTCCATCGCGGTCATGAACATCTTTGGGCTGTACAAGAACCCCACCACCGCCTCTCCCTACATCAAGCCCATCGGCAAGATCCCCAAGGGCCTGCCGCCCTTCAGCGCCAACCACTGGCTGCCGCTGTACGACGTCAGCCGCCAGGTCACCCTGGCCATCATCATCTGCCTGGTGGACGTCTGCGAGTCCATCTCCATCGCAAAGGCCCTGGCCCAGCGCAACAAGTACCGCCTGAACTACACGCAGGAGCTGCGCGCGGTGGGCGTGGCCAACCTGTTTGGAGCCATGTTCTCCTGCTACACCACCACGGGCTCCTTCTCTCGCTCCGCGGTGAACAACTCTGCGGGCGCCAAGACCCCCTTTGCCCAGTTCGTTTGCTCCATGCTCCTCATGCTCACGCTCCTAGTGCTCACCCCCATCTTCACCAACATGTCGGCCAACGTCCAGGTGGGTGGTTGTTTGTTATGTGTGTGTGTGTGTGTGTGTGTGTGTGGTGGGGGGGGGGCAATGGGGTTGCTCCTGTTGGGGTCTGGATCGCGAGGCACCGGGATCCCTGTTGTCAATCACTGTGCCTGCTGCTGCGAATGCTGTTTGTTTCTGGCTTGTGACCTCCATGGCCCCATGTGTTTTTGAGTGGCAGGAACTCCCAGGCCACTTCATCCCACTACCCTTCATTTACCATCCCCCCCTACCCCTACCCCAACAAACAACCTTCAGGGCGCCATCATCATCGTGGGTGTGCTGGGCCTTTTTGATTACTCCGAGTTCCTGTATCTGTACAAGGTGAACAAGCTGGACTGGATCGTCTGGCTCGTCACCTTCTTCGTCGTCCTCTTCGCCGGCGTGGAGATCGGCATCGGCGTGGGTGTGGGCGTGTCCTTGGTGCTGGTCATCTGGCGCGCCGCCTTTCCCGCCATCGTGAAGCTGGGCAAGCTGCCCGACTCCGCGGTCTACCGCAACGTCAAGCTCTTCCCCGACACACAGCAGACCCCAGGCGTGCTGGTCATGCGCGTCGACGCGCCCTTCTTCTTCGCCAACGTGGAGTCCATCCGCGACGGCATCGTGCGGCGCGTGGAGGAGGCCCAGGCCACGCCCGAGGCCGAGTCCGGTGCCGCGCCCGTGCGCTACGTAGTGCTGGACATGGGCGCGGTGACCGACGTGGACGCCACCTCCATCCACTGGCTCACAGAGTTTGTGTATGACCTCAAGTCCGATCTGGGGGTGCAGCTGGTGCTGAGCAACCTCACCCGCCCCGTCCTGCGCGCCATCAAGAACGGCAATGTGCACCGGCGCCTGGGCCCGGACCACATCTTCGTGGACACCAACGATGCGGTGGTCACCCTGTCCACCGGGCTCAAGCAGGGCAGGGTCGACAAGGCCCTCTGAGGCAGGACGAGGGGCGGCGCGCAACACCCCACCCCCGGAGCCTCACGCCGTCTGCAAGCAGGCGGGGAAGAGTGCTGGCACGCCACCCCCTCCCACCCGGCCAACCCAAACTCCCTTTCCATACCAAGCTGTTTCACTGTACCGCGGTCCGTTGCCTGAGCAGGTGGGCGGGAGGCGCCCCCCGCACCCCCTCGGCTGCACTCCAGTCTCCCGCCCCTTGGACCCTGCTGCGCACGCCCCTTCCTAACTTGTGTACCTTCCGATTGTTTTCCCACCCCGACTGACGCTTGCTCGGGAGGGCACCAGGGCAGGACCCCTGCGATGCTCGCACACTTGTGTGTGGGAGGTCCGCTCTTGCCCACCCAGTCCTCTCCCACTCGTCTTTTGGGCGGGGGTTGGCGGCAATAACATGGGGGGCGAGCGCTTGTGACATGCTTCTACTGCTTGTTTTATGTATTACGATGGCTCAGCTCCTTTTCGTCCTGGCTCTGACAACTTGGTTGTAGATGCGTCTCGCAACGCGGCAGACTATGCGACAGGGTGGGCTGCCGCTCCGTTTGGTCTGCCTCCATGGCGTTATGCACGTCAAGCTCTTCCCCGACACGCAGCAGACCCCAGGCGTGCTGGTCATGCGCGTCGACGCGCCCTTCTTCTTCGCCAACGTGGAGTCCATCCGCGACGGCATCGTGCGGCGCGTGGAGGAGGCCCAGGCCACGCCCGAGGCCGAGTCCGGTGCCGCGCCCGTGCGCTACGTAGTGCTGGACATGGGCGCGGTGACCGACGTGGACGCCACCTCCATCCACTGGCTCACAGAGTTTGTGTATGACCTCAAGTCCGATCTGGGGGTGCAGCTGGTGCTGAGCAACCTCACCCGCCCCGTCCTGCGCGCCATCAAGAACGGCAATGTGCACCGGCGCCTGGGCCCGGACCACATCTTCGTGGACACCAACGATGCGGTGGTCACCCTGTCCACCGGGCTCAAGCAGGGCAGGGTCGACAAGGCCCTCTGAGGCAGGACGAGGGGCGGCGCGCAACACCCCACCCCCGGAGCCTCACGCCGTCTGCAAGCAGGCGGGGAAGAGTGCTGGCACGCCACCCCCTCCCACCCGGCCAACCCAAACTCCCTTTCCATACCAAGCTGTTTCACTGTACCGCGGTCCGTTGCCTGAGCAGGTGGGCGGGAGGCGCCCCCCGCACCCCCTCGGCTGCACTCCAGTCTCCCGCCCCTTGGACCCTGCTGCGCACGCCCCTTCCTAACTTGTGTACCTTCCGATTGTTTTCCCACCCCGACTGACGCTTGCTCGGGAGGGCACCAGGGCAGGACCCCTGCGATGCTCGCACACTTGTGTGTGGGAGGTCCGCTCTTGCCCACCCAGTCCTCTCCCACTCGTCTTTTGGGCGGGGGTTGGCGGCAATAACATGGGGGGCGAGCGCTTGTGACATGCTTCTACTGCTTGTTTTATGTATTACGATGGCTCAGCTCCTTTTCGTCCTGGCTCTGACAACTTGGTTGTAGATGCGTCTCGCAACGCGGCAGACTATGCGACAGGGTGGGCTGCCGCTCCGTTTGGTCTGCCTCCATGGCGTTATGCACTTGCCAGGAGCCAGTCAGTCGAGAGCACTCTGGATGGCACCTGGTGCTGCAGAATTTTCACCTTGACCCCCTACCCGGCCCCCCGCCCACATTCCCCCAGCTGCTCCCTGTGATCAACGCAGACCGTGACTCCTCGCATTCTAAATGGGCATCGCATGCACACACGCACGGGCAGGCAGGTCCGGCCCCAGCCAGGGTGGCAGTGAGAGCCACGCCCTAAACCACACCCGCGCTCAGAAGCGGTCAAACCCCGCCGCGTCGCCAAAGGCCGGGGGGGAGGGCGCGCCATTGGATGTGGGTGCGGGCAGCGCCAGGTAGGAGTTGAGGTGCAGGTAGGCGTTGGCCGCCTGCTCCTGCTGCTTCTTGGCCTCCTCGTCCAGCTTGCTCGCCTCCTGTGTGTGGGAGGGGGTGGTTGTGAGTTGGATTGGGTGAGGGCGTGACCTGTGCTTTGCCTTGGGTGTGGCCTATGGTGAACCAGAAGGAATGTTCCAGCGATCCCCGGCCCAAACCCATGAGCACAAAAGTTCACTGGCCCTGCGCTGCCTCTCCGGGAGGCCCTCAACCCCCTCCCATATCGTACACTCTGGGTCCCAGCCTGTCCTCTTGCGGCATTCAAGTCTAGACTGCCCTGCCTCGATATTCGCCGCCTCTCCCCTCCGATCACACCGACCCTCCAACCCCATCAACCACCTCCCACGCTCCCCCCCATCGCCCACCACGCACCTGAGCATCCTTGCGCTCGTGGACCAGGGTGTCCACCTTGGTGGTGTAGTCGCGGAGCACGGAGATGAGGTAGGGCATGACGGCGTCGGTGAGGCCGTTGCGCCAGGCCACCTCCAGGGCCACGTCGGGCTTGACCAGGTCGCGGCAGCGGTCCAGGCACTCGGCGAAGCGGTCGTGCGCGCCCTCCTCCACGAAGAAGCGCAGGAGGTCCTCGGCGATGCCGCGCTCCCCGGACTGGGCCGCCGTCTCCATGGCGTCCTGTTCGTTCGGTGTATTTGCGAGTGGCACGGGTGAGGAGATCAAGGGTGGTGGAGGTGAGCGAGGCAGCCCCTGGCCACCGTCAGGAGTGCCTGTCTGCTGCCCTCAGGACGCCTTGCCAGACAACCTGGATGCCAGCACCCGCACAGATGACACTCCCAGACCGCATGGCAGGGAAAATCCCTGATCCCCCCCCCCCCCCCCCCAGAAAACCCAACACCAGCGCTGACCTCGTACAGCTTGTCGGTCTTGGCCAGAGCCACCGCCTTGTGCCACTTGAGGTTGCGCTTGTAGATGAGCGCGGCCAGGCGCCGGAACTCGGTGTCCTCGTGCCGCTCCAGCCGCCCCGCCAGCGCCAGCGCGTCGTAGTTCTCATAGGAGGTGATGCTGTCGCGCAGGCCCGCGGCGTCGCCCTCGCCCACAAGCAGCTCGTTCACCGCCTCGTTCACCGCCTGCAGGTCGTTCTTCTGCACCGACACCAGGTACTCCTTGACCAGGGGCAACTGCCCGGCGCGGCGCATGATGTCCACCACGCGCGAGTGGTCCACCCGCGACTCCACCACCTGCGAGTTGGGCAGGCGCCGGGTTTAGAGGGGAGGGGAAGGGGGAAGGGACCAGGGCGTGCGAAAGTTTGCGAGGGACGGGGCCAGGTGTCGTACGAGAATGATGGGATTGCCAGTTACCAATGGAAGGGGAAAGGGATGGAGTGCCAGGACGCTGCCTTGCCGGACATGGGAGCGGCCCTGGCCGCATGCCCACAAATTCCTTTGATCCCCATCCTGCCCGTCGCGACACGGCCCTGTTTCAATCACCTTGCGTGCCCCCCCCCCACCACCACACCACCACCACCCACACACACACTCACCTTGAGTAAATCATTCAGCAGCTCCGGGTGCTCTTCCAGGTAGAAGGAGATGCCCTTGTACAGGGTCTCGGCCGCCTTCACCTTCACCGCCACGTCCTTGAACTGGACGTGCTCCCAGGCGGCGGCCGCGTGCCCCACCATGACCCCCAGCGCGTTGTCGTACTCGTCGTAGGCGACGTAGAGGAAGGTGAGCTCGCGCCAGAGCTCCAGCTCCTCGCAGACGCGGATGAGGGCGGGGACGTTGCAGCGCGGCGCGAAGAGCTTGAGGTGCTCCATGAGGCGCTCCGGGCGGTGGCGCGCGTACAGCGCGCCCAGCTCGGTGAAGATGCCCATGTGCGCGCGCTCCAGGCCGATGCCCGACTCCAGCAGCGCGATGAGCTCGTCGGCGTGGCCGCGCTGCGTGTAGAACTCGGCCACCTCGGCCAGGTCGTCGGCGGCGACGATGATGTTCAGGCCGCACAGCTGGGCCAGCTTGAACTCGCCCTCCTCCACGCAGGCATAGCACACCTCCTTCCACGTGCGTGGGCTGTTGGCCTTGCGCGCCGCGTCAACCGCCGCCTGGTAGCGGTGCAGCTTGACCAGGGTGCTGGCCAGGCGGCCGTAGTCGGGGATGGTGGCGAAGACCAGGCGCGCGGCGTCATGCAGGCCCTCCTCCGCGCAGCGGTCGCCCACCGCGCGGAGGTCGGCGAGGTGGGGGGCGGCCACGAAGGCCTCCAGCGCGGGCAGGTCGCCGGCGCGCGCGTAGGAGTGCACGATCTCCGTGTCCACCTTGGGGTCCTTGACCCGCTTGCGCACCATGAGCAGGTACTTGGTCAGCTCCGCGTAGTCGCCGCTCTCGTGCGCCTTGGCCACCACCTCCACGTGCTTGCTGGTGTCGCCGGCGCGGAGGTAGGCCGCGATGGCGTCCGACACGCGGGCAGTGGGCCAGGTAGGCGTCGGCCAGCTCGGTCCAGACGCCCGCCTCGTCCACCTTGGTCGCATACTCGTGCGCGCGGTCCAGGTCCTCCAGGTGGTCCAGCAGCACATGGATGGCCTGGGCGCGCAGGCCAAACTTCTTGTAGATCTCGAACGCCTCCTCGAACAGCTCCTAGCCCACAGCGATCTCGCCCACTGCGGGGCCGTCAAAGTTGTCCAGGCGGTGGATGTAGTCCTTCACCCGCGCCTTGTCGGCCTGGCGGTTGTGGAGGGGTTCAGTTTGGGGG